TGGTTGGTAAAACAACGGGTTTCTGAATCCATTCCGATGTCATCATAGAATCAAACAAAACATACAAAGCAAACAAGAAAAACAGATACTTTTTGATCACGAGGGTGGCGTCACACAGCCACTGCGGAGCCTCGGGTCTGAGGCGGAGAGATAAGGGTGTATACCCGTGGACCCCAGCGTCATCAGGCATCCTTTCTCTCTTCTCAGCATCTCCACCATCTTCGGTGAACTATTCATCTCTGAAACATCATCATGGCGCCTTCAGCAGGCCACCTGCTACTCCCCAAAATTTGGAGAGCAGCAAGGTATGTCTCCCCTTTTCTGTCGCCATATCTAGTTCCAATGAAGCCATTGACTAACATTCTCCTAGGTTTGCCTACGCAAAGGCTTCCAAGGCTATACGCTCCAAATTACCAGAGCCTACAGAGTATCATTCAGTGCGATACCAACCTGCCTATGCCCGAATCAATGCTCGCCAGCCAATCAGCCGTGCCGCGGCCATCCGTCAAGCCCGCAGTCGCCACTTCTCGACCCGTGCAGCCGGTACTTTCGCCTCTGCGATTAGATCCGGACTAGGAGCTGATACCACTGCACGTACCACCTCTCGCATTGTGTCTAACATCAGTCGACTCAGCAGCCGTGCACCTTTCGCTTCTACCCTCCGTCCCAATCTGACCGGCGGTACCCTCGGTCGGACTGCAGGAGGATACGCTGTTGGAGCTGGCCGTTTTGGTGGAGCTAGATACTTTTCACATGGTCCTGCCGCACCGGCACAAGTTATTCAGAATGTGTCGCAGGGTGTGCGTGCTTTCTTCCTATCTGGGCAGAAAGTCCGCTTCGACGGCATCGATCCCCGCACTGGAGAGAAGCGCTATAAGTCAGTCAGCACGCTGCAGGACCAGGCGGAGCGCAAAATGAATGCCAACATGCACAACGCACCTGGCTCATACATTGACTTCCAAGTTTCCCCAACCATCACTGCACTCAGTGCAGTTGGTGGTGTCGGCAAGCAGGAGCGCTCTGCCTCGTGTGACTCTCTGAACTCCGAGGGTCTCATGGATCTGCTTTCTGCCGATTTTGCTCGCGCCTTGAAGGATTTTTCTGCCGTCATGAATGACCTCAAGCGTCTCTCGTCACTTGGTGATCTTCCGATCTCCCTTCATGACCGATCAACGATACGGGTGCGCTTCCCAGGCTGTGACGCAGAAACCGTAGAGCAACTGTGTTGTGAGGCCGGAATTCAGCGAGGCCGAGTTGAGCAGGATGAAGACTTTGATATCCGCAATGGTGCTGATCTAGCTCTTTTGTTCCCTTTCGCACCCAGCATTGCCACTTCCTCCGACACTGATTATTACTTCACAAAAGCTCCAAAGTTACACGCACAGTATCCAGCGGATGTTGATTGGCAAGGGATGATGACACCGGAAAGCTGCACGCCGTCATCGCCAGGTCGCTCTCGGGATTCTGGCAATGCGATCAGTTTTGAGGACAGTGAGTTATTTGGTGCCAATCCATGGAAATCTTCCACCAAGAGCTACTCTAGTATTAACATCAGTGAGCTTGGAGATCAACCTTTCTTCCCGGAAATCTCCAGCTCTGGTCAACCTGAGAGTAACTCCGCATATGATGGTGTCGAAGGAATTTACAAGTTCTTGGCTGAGTGCGATCAAGCTAAGCGTTGAGGAACAGACGCTTAGGTTGGGTTCTGCTTTTCTTCTTTTTCTATTTTTGCCACCACTCCTTTGATATTTCCTTTCCCCTTATCTTTTTTTTTATTTTTTATTATTTTTTGCTTTGGCGCATCTCCCAGGCTAAGACCGGGACTCCTACATACGTGATGATGATACAGATACCACTCCACTCTTTAACACTTCTTTTTGTGTTACAATTTCTCAATTGAATGAAGTCATATTGAAAGCTGCTTATTCCAAACAAAGTAATGTCCCTGTCGACATAGTATATCCGGTGCAATACAGCGTGTCAGATACCCTTTATGAAGGCGCTTAACCGAATTAGCCCTAGAAATAGACATTCATGTCATTTCAGCTTGGAGAAGTCGATCGAGCCTCTTCGATCACCCCGGACCGAAGGATTGTACGGCACAAGTTTCTGCTAGCACACCCTTAATTTCCTCCACGTGATATATACTCGTTTCATATAAAACCTAATCCGGCTGAAGAATATGCCACGGTGCGGGGTCCGGGGGGTATGCATAATGCGGCTTGTCGAAAGCAAATGGCGTTTTTTTAGCAACTTCCTTCGGAGATTTCGTCGTATATGCAGTATTTAAATTTGTCAGTTGTGTAGAGAGATATCCAATTCATTGCAACGGATTCTTCAATTCTTTCCTTCATGTACCAGGCTAAATCAAATCTTTTTTCGATATACGTTTACTTCGATTTGTAATAGCCAAGGGCCTTCACGTACTATGGTAGCATTAAAATGGAGACGAATAGCTTAACCGCAACGTGGAGCGAGCCTAATATGATACTCCCGCGCCGAGTTTGGGGCAGATCGACGATGTGTGTCCTATTTGGGGACGGGGGATCATTTCCGTGCTGATGCCAGGGGTTTGATATTACATGACAACGCCTCCCCTTGACTATCTAGGCAGTTTATAGTGGTTTGAAGGCTGCATATGACTTTGTTTCCATCTGTGTTGTGTTGAATATACCCCGGACAAGATCATATTTACCCAGATTTAGCCACATCAAGGGGAGAGCGTTCTATTCTCTGTGGTATATGTGTCTTGGCAATGTTTTGAAATGATCAGTTGAATGGAGATCTTTTGAATCTCATACCCCAATAGCTCGATCTGGGGTGACATTGTCTTCGGGTTTCCGGCTTCAATCTCCGCAAGACCTACAATTATTCATCGCACTAAGGTATATAAAGAGATCCGGTTCCTGCAGACTTGTTAAACAGCATCACACAGAAACCAGCAACAGTCAAATACACTAACTCAGGCCCGCCAATATGCGATCTCTAATTCCATTCATGCCTCTACTGGCTTCTTCCGCGGCGGCAGCTGCAATCGCAAGTTCAGCCAGCGCAACTGTCACCGCTGCAGCTTCGACAAATCCCTTCGCAGGATACCAGCTTTACGTCAATCCATTCTATGCATCCGAAGTCTCAGCGTCGGCCTTGCCATCCATGACAGGAGCTGCTAAAGCCGCCGCCAGTGCAGCCGCCGAAGTTCCATCCTTTTATTGGCTGTAGGTTCATCTACTTGGAGTGTCCAATAAACCCTGAGAACAATACTAAGATCGCCTTTTTAGGGATACAGCAGACAAGGTTCCTAAGATGGGCGAGTTCTTAGCCGACATCAGAGCTCAAAACAAAGCCGGTGCTAGCCCGCCAATTGCCGGCCAATTCGTCGTTTATGATCTGCCCGATCGTGATTGTGCGGCTTTGGCAAGTAACGGGGAGTATTCTATTGCCAACGGCGGCGTTGCAAATTACAAGGCGTATATTGATGCTATCCGTGAGGTGCTAGTTGAATACTCTGATGTTCAGACTATTCTTGTTGTTGGTGAGTAAACTTTGATGAGTTATCGATGTAGCGTGCAAAGCTATGGAGTACCCGTTGCTAATGTTGTCTCTAGAACCTGATAGTCTGGCGAATTTGGTTACCAACATGGCCGTGTCGAAGTGTGCTGGCGCACATGATGCTTACTTGGAGTGCACTGACTACGCCATTACTCAGTTGAATTTGGCTAATGTTGCTATGTATCTTGACGCCGGTAAGCATCTTTATTGAATCCTTGAAGGCGGCAATCACCCGGAAACAAAGAGAATGTGCGCTGGAAGATCCCCAACAGCATCTTGTACTTGCTTCTTTCTGGTCATCTACTGCATCCTCTCACCTTACATGGCGGCATCATAGGAACGCAATCCAGGCTAATTTGGAGATGCTAACTATTGAAATAGGACATGCGGGATGGCTTGGCTGGCCCGCCAATCTGAGCCCGGCAGCTGAGCTCTACGCGAAGGTCTACAACACTGCCAATAAACCCGCGTCTCTGCGCGGACTTGCTACCAACGTTGCCAATTACAACGGCTGGTCTCTCACTACTTGTCCATCATACACCTCGGGAGATGCCAACTGCGATGAGAAGAAATACATCCACGCCCTTGCTCCCTTGCTTAAGAGTGCAGGTTGGGATGCTCACTTCATCACTGACACTGGTACGTAAGACCATTTTAAAACAACACCATATCGACTCCCCTTCAGTGAAGTCCAAAAAATCTAATTGCATTTTTCCAGGCCGCAATGGAGTTCAGCCAACATCCCAAAATGCATGGGGCGATTGGTGCAATGTCAAAGGAACCGGTTTCGGCGTTCGACCTACCACTGACACAGGCGATGCCTTGGCCGATGCCTTCGTCTGGGTGAAGCCCGGTGGCGAGAGTGATGGCACTTCAGATTCCAGCGCGACTCGCTATGATGCCCACTGTGGATATAGTGATGCTCTTCAGCCTGCCCCTGAGGCTGGGACTTGGTTCCAGGTAAGAGTGCCCTAGTTGATGGGGAGTATTTATACAATGCTAATGACTTTGCAGGCGTACTTTGCCCAGCTTGTAGAGAATGCCAACCCATCGCTTTGAGTTGGTGGAATCGATACTGAAATTAGTTCTACTCTAGAGCTAAGAGGAAGTCAGTGTGGGGATGATGCATTCAAGTTAAGGTTTCATTTATGATAGTGGAATAGTGAGCACCACGATGCAATCTTGGATTATGAAGTAATCTTACATGAAATATGTGTCTTGATTCTGGATCGTTCTACTCCTAAGCAGCCTTTGGGAGCAACTTATTAAAAAAAGATTCGCGGTGTATTTGGTACACCAGGGAAATCGTCTTTACTTTACCCTCGAACTCGAATATTTCTGGAATATGTACATGTATATTCTTTCAATTAAGCTATTCCAACTATGAGAGACTTTACGTACAGAAGACATGGCAAGAAATGAAGTTCATATGAATTATCGAGGCATATCTTTCAAGAGTTGGAATTGTCCGCGCAAGTCCAAGGTTTCGAGCCACCAGCTTTGAGTGAGTCAATTATACTGACGATAGAGCCATAAGTACCTGCGATCGTCATGAATGTTCCAATCACAATAATAAACATACTCCAGCATGCCATGAACTTCCATCTCCAAGTCCGGTCAGTAGATCCCCAGTTATCGTAGAACCACATGCAGCCAGTTGGTTGGTAAGCGAGTGAAGCACCTAGACACGCCCCGATCAGGGAGACTAGACTGTTGAAGAATGGAATACCACTGGCAATGAGGTATGCCACCATTGTAGAAGCAAATGTGCAGCTGAGCCAGATGACCCAGTGGGTCAAAGTGTTCGAAGTCAGATGATCCGAGCCTCGCAAGATGCGAACAAAGACATATTTGCTCGGAAGCTGGAATATATTAGTTTTGAAGACAGCCTGTGGGGAATAGCGGCCACTTACATGTAAAACAATAGTAGTGGAGGCAATAAGGCCAGGTAAGGCGATTCCGTAAGAGATTCTCTTGATGAGGGGACCGGCGGAGCCGAGGGCAGGCGAAGCAACATCAGACCCGCAGTAATAGTATACAACGATGCCGATCACGAGATATATAATAGTCGATCCAAGTTGGCTAACAACGAGGGATCGGGTGAACAGCCGCGGGTCACGCATTTCGGCGGCGATGGAAAAGTAGGCGGGCGTGGCAGAGCATGCAAATATCAGGGATGAGACTGCTGCAACACCTTGCGCGAAGGTTGGTGAGTTGGTTATCTTAAAGTCGGAAGACCAGGGGCCCTCTTGAGGGGCAGATGATGGTCGGTCTTGGATTCCAACGCTGACAGTGACAATCAGAACTATAAAGTAGTACCGTTAGATATAGAAACCGGAGGAGGAATGTAGAGTGACTGACCGGCACTGAGAATACAAATCAATCCAACCCAGGCTATCCAAGTGATCTTGCCCAGGGTTCGAATGCTGGCGAGTGAGAATCCAATGACAGCGGCAACAGCAACGAAAGCAGCAGTACATGTTCCATGGTTTGAGATGGCATTCAAACTGATTGAAATGCCAAGTATGCCCGATCCTGCAACAAAAATCCAGTCTTTGCACAAATATCAGCTTCAAATATTCAGATACCGAGAAGCCGAAGGATCATCACTTACAGAGGGAAAATCCAATACCAAAGATCTCTCGGCCAATTCTGCCAAACATCAAGCCACCAGCCTCATCAATGCCGTAAACCTCGCGATGTCTGATTTTGAAGACTCCGACCATATAGCTCGTCCAAGTGGCAATTCCCGCAACAATGCAGAGCAGAATGACACCTGGGACCATCCCTAATGTATCGAAGACAGAAGGAATGGAAAGGACACCCAACCCAATCTGGGTCTTCATCATCAAAGCGACAGTTCCCAGCCATCCAACCTATTCTTGTTAGTATGACTCACAATACGGGACCTGGAGAGCAAGTTACATTGCGATAGTTAGGTCCATCTTCAGTGACCTCTCCAAAGACAGGGTCATGAGTGATGTTTTCTTCCTTGAGAATCTCGCCGGTCTGTGAAGGCACATAAGTGATGGGTCCTGATGCCTCAATGTCATCTGAGATTTTGTTCTGTTTTTCAGCCATGATGAAAGTAAAATAATATCCCAATACCAAATGGCTAAGAGCGTTATGATGGGGACATAGTATATGTGTAGTTCTGGGCCTTTATATCAATAATAAACTAGTCAACTCCGGGGATACATTGGCTGAACCTGCGGGTGTCGTTGATAACCATTGACCAATAAGGTCAAGATTAAAATTGGAATTCGGGAGGAAAGTATAGGCGAGATAAGAAGCGTCCTGGAGCGAAGCCCTACTTATCCGCTAAGGCCCCACTACCCCAGATATTTAGACATATCAACGGTAGAGATAGGAGCAGGAGAGTTCTGGATGGGGTAATAGGTTGGCCAATTATCGTATGCCTATCTTTCGCTATGGCCTGCCTTATACCGTAATCTGTAAGATAGAATCACCTCGTATGTCATCTTCAAGGATCTATATCTATGTTTTGTCTCAAATACGAACGCCCTTCCGGATACCCGCGGCATGGGACTGGCGGGGGACTCGCATGAGTTCGCGCTATAGAGGTAAGTAAGCCAAGGTATCTTCCAAGGTCCATTGAATTACAACGTAGGTATGGAAATATGGAACTGCGATCAATAAACCTTGTCTCATGGATAGGTATCACGATGTTACCTACGAAGACTCATATGCTCGAACAGTAGGTTTCACTGATTTCATTATACTAGAAATACGCAATTGAAGGACATGTCTCATTATGTATATAAAGATCTCTCAAGCTTTCAAGGTTGACAGCACCTAAAATGTGGTCAACAACCCGCGTGCAGGCTATCCAACTAGAGCGACGCAATGACCTCAATCTCGACCTCAGCATCCAAAGGAAGGCTAGCAACTCCAACACATGTGCGACACTATCCATGGAATCAGCGGTCAGCGCTGAATGGTCTATGCTCCAGCCGTATCTGGGTCGAAACTTACCGGCTTCACGTCATGAGTGAACACCTTCGCATATCCCTCATTCACCTTTGGATAGTGATCCATGCTGGAAATGAAAATGGTAACTTTGACAACCTTACTCAGGTCACTGCCACCAGCAATAAGGACCTGCTCGAGGTTTTGAAGGGCTTGAACCTAGTTTGAAGAGTTAGATAGCTCACGGACAATACAATTCTCGTCACTTGACTCACTGTTCGGTCAGCGGCGTCGCCACTGACAAACTTTCCTGTCTTCGGGTCAAGACCGAGACTTCCAGAACAGTAAATCATCCCATTGCAAATGATGCCTTGGGACATTAGAGGGCTAGGAGCCGGAGCATTTTGACTCAACACAGCAACTTTTGAGGAAGACATAATGGTGAAGACTTTGTTCGGTTATTTTTTAAAGAATCAACAAATTTATATCTCATGCGAACTCATTGTTTCTAGTTATTGATGAAGACTCAACTTTCTGCATACTAATTTCAACGGTCGTACTATAATTCGAAGTGGAAGGGGACGCCGAATCAAACTATATTGAATATCACTTGGCTATACCTTAACGATATACGAGGAGTTCATCAAATCCAGACCTTTGATATCTCCGATCAAGCATTTCTATTACAACAGCTCCATATCTCATATCGCATAGTGGACCCCGTTCGGCGAGCGCTAAGATGCTAAGATGATCACGATGATATATTGCTATTGCTGTTTTTATTTAAAATCCCAGACGTCCGCCTTATCAGAGTCCTTGTGGGGTACTCAAATAGGAACCTCACAGCGTGGCCAATCGGCGAACAGCAGAAACCAATTGCTCAACAAAGTTTGAAATCCCCAGATTCTTGCCGCAAATATTGACAGTTCCCACTAGCCCACGCACAGACCCCAGTGAGAAAAACTGGCTTAAAGTTGTGTTTCGTGGAAGGTTTGATTGGGGACTCGGTGGTGCAAGCATTGACATCGCTATCTGGGCAACCAAAAAAAAAATTGCAATTTGGCCACAAGCCAGCTTGTCTATTGTCACTTTTCTTTTTCTTCCAAAAGCTGTATAATTTTGGGGTTTGACTATAGCAGAGTATGTAGGCGTACACTAAGACTCTAGGATTCCATGTAAATAACTAGTTAGTACTAATGTATCTTGCTTATATAGCTGGCATACGTGACTTCTTTCTCAAACAGTTCTATCCCTCATATATCCGATGAAGGGATTCGTAAATATATTACTTCTTGGGCGACATTTTCCATAATTCTTATCAAAGCGATCATTGCCTCTATTTTTGAAAGGATGATATTCAATAGTGATTTTATTTTCCCTGCGCTAAAATATATATTCCCCTCAGTTGTAGATAGATAGAGTCTACAGAGAGGCTTTGTGTACAACATTCACGTTTCCAGTAACAACAGTCTTCGTCTGGAGATAGTCATCAATACCATACTTGCTTCCTTCACGGCCCATTCCTGAGTGTTTAATTCCACCGAATCTATTCGATTGTCAGAATTTACCAAAAACCAAGTCTCCAACAAAACAAAATTGTTAAAGGGGAATATGCGAGAGGAAACTTACGGACTGGCAGCATCAGAAATGACACCTGTGTTGATCGCCACCATGCCGAATTGCAAGAGTTCCGAAACACGGTTAGCGCGCGTGACATCCTGGGTAAAGATATATGATGCCAATCCGACATCACACGCGTTGGAGGTGGCTACAACTTCATCTTCCGTCCTGAAGGAGAAAATGGGGGCTACCGGGCCGAAGATTTCTTCATTAACCACAGTCATATCGGCACTCACATTAGTGAGGATGGTAGGCTCGAAGAAGTTCGGACCTAAACACAAATATACCGTCAGTGAATGTGTATGTACGAAGCAATCCAGTATGACATACCTAGGTCAGTCCTCCTCTTTCCACCAATTTCCACCTTGGCGCCACGCTTCACAGCATCATCCACAAGACCGGCAACTCTCTCCACTGCCGCAGAGGTGACCAAAGGACCGTGTGTAGTAGTCTTATCAAACCCATTACCAACTTGGAATCGGCTAACAGCGCTCTTGAGCCGCCTGATGAACTCGGGATAAATGCTCTCTTGCACAAATATCCGGTTAGAGCACACGCATGTCTGTCCAGAGGACTTGAATTTGCTGCCGATCGCCGCTTCCACGGCCAGACCGAGATCCGCATCTTCAAAGACAATGAAAGGAGCATTACCACCAAGCTCTAGGCCAAGCTTCTTCAGAGAGTTGCTCGATTGTTGCATAAGCAGCTTTCCAACCCGAGTGGATCCAGTGAAGGAGATCTTGCGCACAGTATTCGAGGAGCACAAAGCCTGGCCAATCTCAGGTGTGTTTTCCAATGCGGCGACGCTGTTGATAACACCTGCGGGAATTCCTGCCCGCTCGCCGAGCTTGAGCAAGGCGTTGGCTGTGAAGGGTGTTTCGCCTGCGGTCTTGACGACAACTGTACAGCCAGCTGCCAATGCAGGGCCAAGTTTTCTAGTGATCATAGCAGCGGGGAAGTTCCATCTTTTAAGAGTAAGAGGTCAGCTAATAGAATCATTGAGAGGGGAATGCAACCACTCACGGCGTGATAAGACCACAGACACCAATGGGTTCTTTTAGAACCGAAACCCGGAAACTGGGCTGAGTGTGTGGAATCACATCACCGTAGATTCGCGCGGCCTCTTCTGCAAACCATTCAAGGAAACTGGCTGCAAAGAGGACCTCGCCGGTAGCATCTGGCTTAGCCTTGCCGTTTTCCCAGGTGATCAATGTAGCCAGATCCTCCTGGTTCTCCATGACCAATTCGTACCATCGACGCAAAATCCGACTGCGGTTTCTACCAGCTCGAGAGCGCCAGGATGGGAGTGCTGCTGCCGCCGAGTCAATTGCTCTTTGTGCATCTCTGGTGTCTGACTCTGGGCAAGATCCGATCAGTTTGCCGCTCGCAGGGTCTGTGGTACGACATAGTTTAGTATTGAATCACAACGAAAAGTCATTGGTAGAATTCACCTGTTACATTGAATCGCTTTCCAGACTCTGCTTCGACCCATTTCCCGTCAATGTAGTTTTGACCGATCAGCAAGGACGGGTCCTTCAATTGAATGTTTGTGGCCATTGTGAAGTTGGAGTCAGGTTTTAATTTCAGAATATCGTAAATAATCAAAATGGAGCATCTAATGACTCTTTAATAATATCCCCATATATTGACCCCCGCAATGTTGACATTGAAATTGTTGAAGTTCGGTGTTCATTCCGAAGTGCATTTTCCGTAGGGGCAAGTCACCGCGTACGGCAGCCGAAAAGGGACAAATTAGGCGTGCGCAACTGGGGAAGGCCACAGAGAAAATCCCCCATCGTCACTCGTTTGAGCAGTAGGATGCGGTGTTATTATTGGAGCCCCTCTTTGTCCGGGATCTCTTTCCCTTTCAGGTCTGATGATGGCATGTTAGCTCAGACCGATAATGTGCATGAAGATTGACATGAATGAGCGGTGATGGCCAAAGACGATGCATGAGCCTATCACCCTCGTTATCTCTCTCGTATATAACCAGACAATTGCACTTGGTCACTTTTCCTCTGCCATTACCCCAATATACATCTCCCGAAATGCCCAAGACCGTAGACACCGTCGACCTATCCAACACCGCCAGTGCGTACTACGCACCAGCGACGGTCGCACCAGCTGGCAAGCTCATCCATGTCGCTGGACAACCTGGAAGCACAAAGGATGGCATCGTGCCAGCTGACTACGAGTCCCAGATTCACCTGGCTCTGCTGAACCTGCGCAAGATCATAATCGCCGCTGGATCTTCAATTGAGAACATCGTCAAGCTACAGCTCTTCATCGTCGACTACGATGCCGACAATCGCAAGCACACCCGACACATCCAACGATTCCTCGCGGGCCACCGACCAGCCATCACCCTGGTCCCCGTTCCCAAGCTTGCTGTCGCGTCATGGCTATTCGAGATCGATGCTATCATTGCCCTCCCAGAGCCAACCCTTCCTCCGGTGCTCCCTGCCACCAACGAGAATACTGACGTTGTCATCATCGGCGCTGGTCTTGCGGGTCTTTCAGCTGCACACGATGTCCTGCGCGCGGGTTTGTCTTGTGTCGTCCTTGAAGCTCGCGATCGTGTCGGCGGCAAGACTTGGAGCTCCGCCCTCAATGGTGGTGGTGTAATTGATTTGGGTGCGGGGTGGATCAACGATACTAACCAGAGCAAGGTGTATGCTCTGGCCAAGCGCTACGGTGCTGAAGTCATTGAGCAGAACACGCAGGGAAATGCTGTTCTGCAGGACTTCAATGGAAACTGCACTCCATTCGTCTATGGAGATCTACCCAGCGTAAGATATCTACTATAAACAGATAATATGGGGATGATCGAAGCTAACACTTTGGTTCCTCTCAGTTCGATAAAGCTACCCAAGCCCACTTGGCAGAAATCCGCGATATGTGCGAGGCGGAATGCCAAGCTCTCGACACCTGGAGACCTCAAGACACTAGCTTGGATTCCATTACATTCGAAGCCTACTTGCGATCTCGTGGGGCGAGCGAGGTGGCTATTGCCACAGGAATGGTCTGGACCCGCGCAATGCTTGGTCAAGATCCGAAGGATATTTCCGCTCTCTACTTCCTGAACTATTGCAAGTCCGGAGGTGGTTTGTTGCAGATGCGATCTGATCGCAAAGATGGTGGCCAATACCTCCGCATCCGACAGGGTACTCAGCATTTCTCCCTAGGATTGGCATCATCTCTCCCGGAGAACACTGTTCGACTCTCTAGTCCCGTGCACTCAGTTATCCAGAACGCCGACAAGTCCGTGAAGGTTCAAGCCGGAGGGGTGGTTTACGGCGCCCGCAAGGTCATCATCACTGTTCCTACCCCTGCCATGAAGACCATCTCATTCCACCCTAAGCTCCCTCCTGCGAAGCAGGCATGGATTGAATCCACTACCTACGGATACTATACTAAGGCGATGATGGAGTTCCGCTCTCCGTTCTGGGTTAAGGCTGGCTTCTGTGGTCTTGCTCAGTCTTTTACTGGTCCTGCTAGTGTTGTCCGAGACAGCTGCAGTCCCGAAGATAAGAAGTACGTGCTCACTTGCTTCATGTCGGGCGATCCTGGGCGAGCTTGGTCCGCGCTATCGCAAAAGGAGCGAGAGGAGAGTTTGCTGCAACAACTTGGAAAGCTTTTCGGAGTTGCGAACATCGACAAGGAATTCATTCAACTGACAGCATACGAATGGATTAATGATGAGTGGGCTGGCTGGGGCTGCCCATGCACAGCTCTTACGCCTGGTGTCCTTGATACTCTGGGTCCTGATGCGCTGCGCGAGAGCACTGGCAACTTGCACTTTGCTGGCACTGAGACTGCCGGTGAGTGGAAGGGTTATATGGAAGGTGCTATTCGTAGCGGAGAGCGGGCTGCCGCTGAGGTTGTGAAGACGCTCAATGCTGGTATCGTTTCACGTCTATAGATGCATTATTCGTCATAATCCTTGCTGGATTTGAGCTGTACATAGCAAAGTTGTTTATATTATAAAATTAGATTTATTATTTTCGCCGTTACTCTTGTTAATTTCTCACTAGACATCAAGTAAGGGACCTCAAGCATATCGCAGTCCATGGCGCCCACAAGGGCTTTAGGATTCACCGCCCATTTCTCCTTGTTCGAGGTGATTTATCTTTGACCAGAGAGGTGCTTAGGGTAAGTCAGAGCATTAGTAGATGGCCAATTTTCCACTAGCAATAAAATCCAATGGGTCCAAAGTCCCCAGTGGTCACTATGCACTCTGATACAGGAGTGCGGATGGAAAACACGCCCATTGTTCCTCACGGTCTTAGTTACCATAAGATAATTATCTCTATATTATTCAGAGATAACACCTACCAGCAGCACTTACTTAATGCTATAATTAATGCTACCGATCGACATGACAGTCTAGTTCCGCCGTGAGATGCCCGTTCCAGCAACAGTGGATCCTGCGTGTGGGGGGGGGACTCCATCTTTTTTTTCCCTTCGCGATGATCTTCCTATTCAGTACTAATAGGTCTAGAGCTTACTTGTGAAGTTGGAGCTCTTATCTTCGTATCTCATATTACATATCTCAATGAGCTTCATACTTTGTTTTAAGCCCCTCAAACGACCGACTTCCTTAGCTGGAACGAGCCCATTCTTTATCGCTCCTCGCTATTACCGTCCTATCAGTATCGCAAAAATGTCCGAGCAAAAGGCACGAGTTCTAATTGTCGGGACCGGCGGTGTCGGCACCATGTCAGCTTATGCGCTGGAACAAGGTGGTAAAGCTGAGGTGACGGCTGTTATGCGATCCAACTATGAAGCCGTGAAGGCCAACGGCGTGAACATTGATTCTGTACAATACGGCAATGGCATCAAATTCAGACCTACCAATAGTGCGTTCTCCCATCTATCGCGAAAAAAAATCAATATACAGGGATTCTAACGTATCATCAAAGTCTGTAAAGCCGTCCCGGATGTCGTAAAGGAAAATCTCCCACCATTTGATTTCATCCTCGTAACGACAAAGAACATCCCAGACGTCTCCCCAACAGTCGCAGACATAATCGCTCCCGCCGTAACACCCGGCAAAACCGTGATCGTTCTCTCCCAGAACGGAATCAACATCGAGAAGCCCATAATCCCCCGCTTCCCAACAAACCCACTGATCAGCAGCGTCTCCTTCGTGGGCGCAACCACACGCTCACACTGCGACATCCTGCACGATGACCCAGACGATCAGAAAATCGGCCCCTTCTCCAGTCCCGGAGTCCCAGCCCAAGTTGCCGAGGATGCAGCAAAGCGCTACATCGATATCTACAACCCACACGGCAAGCTCGATCTAATCTACGACGCGGACGTGCGTTGCTGTCGCTGGCGAAAGCTGCTTTACAACGGCTCCTACAATCCCGTTTCTACAATCTTGCGTATGGATACACCACGTATGAGAATGAGCGCTCATGTCATCGATGACCTTATCCGTCCTATCATGAAGGAGATTCTTGCTGCTGCGCGTGCGGATGGTATCACGGATTTCCCGGATGAGCTAATTGAAAGCGTTATTCGGGGTGATCCTGTTGATACGGCTTTCAAGCCTTCTATGTGTCAGGATATTGAGAAGGGGAATTTGTTTGAGGTTGAGAATATTGTTGGTGAGCCTTTGCGCGAGGGGGAAGCCAAGGGTGTTTCTATGCCTACTCTTCGGACGGTATATGGTATTCTTAAGGGATTGCAGTTGCAGGTTAAGGAGAGTAAGGGGTTGTGGGAGCCTAAGTTTACTGCTGATAACCCGTATCAATGAATAATTGGTTTAATTAATATCAGTCAATGTAATAAAGTTAGTTGTGATCTTCTTCTTACGCATTATAGTTTTATGTCTTTTGAGGTGACATTATTTTACCAGTAAAGCAGTTGACTTTGAATCACAGTATGGAACAACTATAACACAACCAACAAAGATATATGCTTCTACTAAACAAATATACAGCATTATCTCAAGGCCAAATTTCTATTATATTTTGCACAATTAAGGAGTTTATACCTGACTGTAGTTTAATGCAATTCTTGGCCCTATGTACATAACTTCTCCCTATGATATCCTATGTTCTGCATCCATTCTTTACAACTTCAACAAACGGCCATCTGGCTGCAGCAGCGAAACCAACTCCTTCTGAATTTCAGACACATTTTTGCACCTAGAAATAGGGTTAGCTATCTGATAATACCATGTATTGGCTTCGGTTGAATATCATACCCTGCCAATGCCATGCATGTCTTGAACTCATCGTAAAGCAGGTTAAGAGCAAGGTCCACACCTTCTTCACCGTTGTACTAGAATGGAAGTTAATACACATATCACTGAATCGACTCTCAAATAAAGCACTTACAGCCAACCCCCAAATAGCAGGACGTCCAGCAAGGCAAAAGTCAGCACCAAGAGCGAGAGCCTTGAAAATATCGGTACCACGTCGGATACCACCGTCAACAGCAATGGGAATCTTGCCCTTTGCGACGGGGACGATCTCGCGGAGGACGTCGAGGGTGGAGGGGACACTATCAAGCTGGCGACCGCCGTGGTTTGAGATTACAATTCCGTCAAAGCCATATTTTATGGCGAGTTCGGCGTCTCCAGAGGTGTAAACTGGTAACAGATAATGTTAATAAACTAACCTTTCAGGCAGAATTTTCAAAGAATAGTAGTATACATACTTCCTTTACCCCAGATCTCCATTTTTGTGTGTTGGCGGAAAAAGGGCATAATCTGTGGCCACTCGATAGACGAGTCGTAGGCCATTGAGTCATCGCCGTCCTCAAGGTTCGTCACATCAACGCCCGGGAACAGGTTTGGGTATTCCATACCCTCGGGCACAGCGAACTTGTTACGGTACTCATTGAGTCGTCGACCTAAGTACGGTACATCAAGGGTGAGGAATAGTGCCTTGAAGCCGGCAGCTAAGATTGAAGTTAGTAAATGGACACAACCACTCTGCTGAATCTGAAATTAAAGCATTACCTTCCGCCCGCTTGATCATCTGGATCATGGCCTTCTTGTTCTTGAGAAGACTCATCTGCATCACATAAGGGTTGCCCGTGCTGTGTGCAATGACTTTTTCAAGTTCCTTCGTCGAGTAGTTCGATAGGCCCATTAGAGTATTATTTTTAGCGCAGGCCTTGGATGTCCCCTCTTCTCCATCCGGGTGTGCCAGTGTCTGCATGGCAGTTGGAGAGAATCCGAAGGGGAACTTCACCTTGCATCCCACGATGGAAGTGCTGGTGTCCAGTTTGGAAATATCGCGGAGTACGCGAGGGCGGATCATGTATCGATCGTAGGCAGATTCGTTCTCTCGCAAACTATTATGGGGGGTGAGCGGTCTGACAAGCAACGCAAAGATTGTAGGACATAACATACGTGATCAGGTCCATGGCTCCCTCGTTGTAATATTCTAATTGCTTTTATCAGCTGGTCTGCCATTATGCATTTCCGATGATTGATTTAAGCAAGTCGAAGCTTCCTACATCTCGATGGGTAACATACCACGATAGGCCTTTTGCATCTTGCTTGAACCCAGTCGCTCGAGGTCCTTGATGCAGTAGACCTCTTCATTGTGAGTTTTGCCCCGGTTTGCCATTGTAGCTCAGGATCAATGGTGTGAAGAGAAAAAAAAAAGTGATATTAGAATGTAATAATTGCCTCGAAGGGACTTGGTGAGAGAGTATACAAAAGTTGAAGCTAAGGTGGATAGCTTCTAGAGCTAGGGAGCTGATATATGGGTTTTTTGGAACACCTCGGTAGATGTCAATTGAATTGACCAACACCATGTCCCCAGTTATCTCAAATCTTCGGCGATGTCGGCGACACACCGATAGTGGGGCTCGCTATGGCCTACCCAATCTGTTGGTTGCGGATCCAAAATAGGAAGCAAATCAAAGCAGTTTGATTGGTCGATCCACTCGGCCTAGGACTCTAATATGCAACCTTCCAAGGTTGGAACTTGGACAGACAGCCGCAAATAACTAATATCATGACACGTAGTCTTGGAGATAGGTGTTACAAACTAGAACGCTCTCTAGGGAATACAAGGGATAACAGTTAACAGATACGAAGTACAAACTTTTATCTATTGTTCGAGAAATATATTCATAGTACATGAGGTTATCGGCATAACTTTATACATGAAAGAAATACCAATTTGAACATGTCTTCGCCAACTTTTAGGCTACTTCTTAATTTATGATATATTCTCAACTAGGGAATTAATCTGATTATACAATTCGCTCCCACTCAATCATCGTCTTGTCCGTTCCACCGCTGCAGCACTCATTTTGGGACCATTACTAGGACCAGGCGCGATCCGAGTTCCGCCAGATGGTGATGCACTCCGAGAGGGGGCTTCAGATGTTGGTGCAGACCGATTGTGCGCCATATGCGCTTTCACGAGATGACCAGCTGCCAGAGCTGCACAAAGAGAAAGCTCTCCTGCCAGAACAGCACCTCCGATGATGCGTGCAAGTTGACGTGCATTCTCGCCAGGCGTGGTCGGATGGGATCCACGAACACCAAGCATGTCCAGCATTGCTCCCTGGGGTTCCAAAATAGTACCACCACCCAATGTACCAACTTCGATGGAGGGCATAGTGACGGAGATATGGAGTGAGCCACGGTAACTAGAGAGTCCAGGTCAGTGAATTTGTTTTAATTTGAGTCAGCGGTCAATTCAAATCTAACTTTTCCATAAGAGTCATGCAGTTGGCACACTCCACCACCTGCGCAGGATCCTGCCCTGTAGCAATGAAAACGGCGGCTGCTAGGTTCGCGGCTTGAGCGTTAAATCCACCGATTGAGCCGGCCATGGCGGACCCAATTAGATTTTTAGACACATTCAGCTGAACCATGCTGTCAACGTCGCTCTTCAAAACTTCCCTGACAACATTCGCTGGAACAATGGCCTCAGCCACAATACCCTTGCCCCGCCCATCAATCCAATTCAAAGCGGAGGGTTTCTTATCTGTGCAATAATTGCCCGACAGGGTGACGATATCCATATCATCGAATCCCGCCTCAGTAGACATGACATGCAGAGCATGCTCAACACCTTTAGATATCATATTCATCCCCATGGCATCGCCAGTCGTTGCCTTGAATCGAATATACACGTTCGTACCAGCGATGGTAGTGCGCAAGCTCTGCAGCCTTGCAAACCGACTAGTCGAGTTAAAGGCATCTTTGATCACAGTCTGACCAGCATCAGAATCAAGCCAGGCCTTTGCGGCACCAGCTCGTGCGAGAAGCGAAAATCTCACACACGGCCCACGTGTCATACCATCACCGGTGACGATTGTCACAGCACCACCGCCGAGATTAATAGCCTTGCTGCCACGGCTTGCACTGGCTACGAGGACTCCTTCGGTCGTTGCCATAGGAATGAAATAGCTCTTGCCGTCAAGGACAAGTGGGCCAGCAACTCCAACAGGCACTGGCATAAAGCCAATTACATTCTCGCAGCAGGCTCCCAGAACACGCGCCCAATCGTAGTTTTCGTATGGTAGCTTTGAGGCTTCTAGCATGTGCGTGATATCTGCCGTAGCAGGTGTACGCGAAATGATAGAGCGACGAACTTTAACGGCTCGCGTGCAATCTTTGAGGCTTTTCTCGAGTGCATATCCGGGGATCTTGCCCCGTAATGATAGGGAGACAACATCCTCGTCGTTCAACTCGCTGATGGGTATTTGCTTGAGTAAATTATCTAGTTCCACGGGAGTGCGAGATTGAGAACATTGCTCGGTTGGCGGGGTCACTTTTGCAGAATTTTGTGTCGGAGGCGAAGGAGCCTCACTGTCATTATCACTACTGACAGGGCTCGACTGCTCTGTCTGGGGAACTGGGGGGCTCAACTGGAGCTGAGGAGTCAGAGTCTGCGCAGCATTAAACCTTTCAGCCTGGGCAAGCTCGACTGGATTGACAGGGTGGTCTGGGTGATTGGGGTCTTTGATCCCTAGTCTGGCAGCCTTAAAGAGATAGCTATTCAGGGCGACGCTCAAAGCAAGTGCCACAAACATCCATTTCGAGAGGACAGGATCTTCAAGGCTGGTGAGGAGACCACCGACCATCCTTTCGCCAACTCCATATTCGGGAAGCTGAGACGGGATGTATGACCAGCTATTCTGAGTAGACTCATGGTTGCCGGGGTACGGGAAAGGGTGAGGAAAAAAGGAATGTCCCAGTTCGTAGTTGATAGGAGCAAGCACGGTTACCACGGTTGCTTGTTTACGCCCTCTTGCCTGGAAAAGCAGTTCCTCCAGCCCGTCTCCGGCTACTTTGAACGGCTCAAGCGGCGGGTTCATGGCCATCCCATGGAGACGTCTATTCCAGGCCAACATGCTGTATAATGAACCACCAGAAGATGGCTGGAGCGCGATAAAGCAAAGGTTCACAATGTTGACCGCAAAGAAACCCACTATAATCCAGAACTTGAACTTTCGAATGTTGCTACCATTGAAATCCTTGCCAAACAAGTATGCACTTGTGCTGTCCGGGGCATCGTTACTTTCAGCAACACCTTCTGCTGTCCGTCTGCTAAGGCCCTCATCTTGTAACGCGTGCCGTGTGTCAACATGACGTTTAATTCGGTTGACCTCAAGCTTGATCGAAAGAACAGCGGTGTAGAAGGTAAAAAGCAGCAGGCAGTCAAAGAAAAGGATTAAGGCTGCAAGAAAACAGAAGTGCTGAAGCCCCCCTCTCACACCCGAAGCAGCACTGACAAGGAGAAGTGAAATCTCAAGAATGTAGTGACACACGATTCCATAACCCTCATCCCTAATGGCACCTAGAACGGCGTACTGGATTGTGCTTTCAGTACGGCCGGCTGGGCCACACCCCTCAGTTTGAGACTTTTGAGGCTTCCGATGCTCTATGGCATGAGATAAAACGGATCTGGTGAGAGTGATGCTCTTTTCAAAGCTAACGATCACAACCAAGAAGGGGAGTCCTTCGGAAAGTAGCCTCATGTTAATGGGAACACCAAGTCTGATGGCGACATCAAGTCCCAACAAGAAAGCAAATGTTGAGCTTAAAAGCACCGTCGTGGCGAGCCAAACCTTCGACCCCAATTTCCTCATGCTTAGAAAGAGTGAAACGAAAGTCAAGTGCATCGATATGTAGGTGATGGCCATAACAATGATATCTAGCGTTTGGGCGTGCTTGAGAAGACCAAGGAATTCCGTCCAGCTATCATGAACCCACTGAGCAAGACTTCCTTTTGTGTTGGGTCGGGCAGCCTTCATGATCCACGTTTTGCGCTCCATCTCAGCACCCCCATCGACCGATTTGCCCTTGATTGCATTGTGAGGAATATTTTGCACGACAGCAACCAGTTCTGGCGCCTTTTGGTGTGGAACGGCGAAAGCAAAGGTGCTATCCTGGGAATACGCGGTCAAAGGGTTTGATGTTGAGGGAAGGGGAAGCACCGGCAGTTCCACAAGAGGAGCGAAGGACGATGTAACGATTTGGGGTGTATCCGCAGAGGAGCCTTGAAAGTTCAAGGTTATAAGCGCTTGGTGGTCAAAATCCTCCGGAATGTCATTAGAGTTGAAAGTATCCCACTTCCAACCCGTTTCTTGGCTGGTAATCAAGCTTCGGCTCCCTGTGAGCAAAGAAGCCCAGTCGGCCTTTCCAACATTTCCGGGTGCATGGAAAAGGCTATCCTTGAGAACTCCGATGTAGGTCGTACTGGCCAAGATGGCTATAGTGCAAATAGTATGGATCGGGTGTAGACAGGCAGTTCTGGATAAAAGCTGGAGACTTGAAGTCACCGCTCTGCTTCCCGGGTGGGAAGATTGTTGATCCATTGACGACCGTTAGAGAGAGGTATCAATGACAATCTTGGGAGGTGACGATGTAGACGATTGTACACTACAGCCTGTAGCTTCGAGCCCTGGCCTTATCCCCCTAAGAATTTTTGTCAGTTTGGAGAACGACTACACCGAAGCGAAATATCATACCTGCGATAGAAAGTGCGGATAAGCAATGCTGACCTTGAGAAACTCTGGAAGCTCAAAGCGCTTCAGGGACAAAAGACTCAAAGGTATTGGGGAATGAACAAAAGTAGCTGTGATAGCTAAAAACAAGCAACGTGCCCCTGAGTTTTAGTGGAAACAAGATTCAAAATACATCTCGGATCTCAGATCTCTGCAGCCGTGTCGTTGGGAATAGATTTGCGATTACTATGAATAAAATGTTGCCTACTAATAATCGAACACATTCGACTAATACAATATATTTTGGCCGCCTAGGAGACTAGAGCTATTAGTGGAGTACGCGACGAACTGTTGGTCGACAACATTCCCGATCTGGACGCTCATCACGGAAAGAGATACAAAGTACGGAGCAGATTAGTCCATATTCAGTGTAGACTCTAGAGATTTGTCCAATCGGCTTCATGGATATAGCTTCGAGGGGATGAATACATGTACATGTAGGTAGTAACATTACTGCCTAGTTATATTGTCTCCAGGCCCTTCAGGCAACCATTTTATATAGATGATTTATAAGATAGGCACCAACGTCACCAACTTAACTAACTAGTACTGAGGAAGTATCAACTGAGAAATCAAGCATTTGACCCTTGTACTTTGTAATAATCGTACCCACGAAACAAAAAAATGTAGACCGCAAATTCATTCCCCCTTGCATAATTCGCCCTTGGACTTCCAGATCTCATATTCAAAGTCTGGTTGGAATTCTGTATAAAGGGTTTCCTGCAAAAATTAGAAGACATTTCATCTCAAATCATGTCATATGTTGGAAGCGAACTTACTGGGTCCGCGTTCACCTTGGCAGTGAATTCAGCCTCCTTGTCTCCGATCAAGTTTTGGGCGATACCCGTGCTCTCGACCATGATCTGAACCTCACAGGAGCGCTCCATTAATGTGAATAAATAAGCAGCCTCATCAACAGTACCACCGGTAGTCAAAAGACCGTGGTTCTGGAGCACCATAACCCGACCCGTCTCTCCCAGGGCCTCGGCAATGCGCTCGCCCTCATCCGCACCTAGAACAACACCACCAAATGATCTGTAGACGGCCTGTGTGCCCCAGAAGTTACAGGTATCTTGGTTAATGATGTTGAGAGGCCGTCCAAATGTGGACCAGGCTTTTCCAGCTGGCGAGTGCGTGTGGCAGGCAGCATGGACATCAGGTCGTGCCTTGTGGATGGCGCTGTGGATCATGAAACCAGCCGCATTGATGGCAGTCTTGTTGCCGCCGATCACCTGGCCATCCTCATCAATGTGCACCATATCACTAGCCTTGAGCATACCAAAGTGCTTTCCCATGCTAACAAAATGTCAGTGTCAACTTTCTAGAAACCCATGAGTCGGGTGACTTCAATTCTTACGGGTTAATCCAGAATGTCGACGGATCGATCGGATCGCGCACGCTGATGTGACCGCTAGTACCCTCCGTGTAGCCCTTTCGTGCAAATACCCGGAAAGCACCGGCCATGTGCTCCAGCTGCCATTGTCGCTTCTTATACAGGTCGTCGATCTTGGGAATTCCGGGGAACTCGTATCCACCGGTTGCAAGCGCTGCTTGGGCGCCGGGTGCTTGAACTGGAGTATCTGCCTTCACAGGAATGGAGTTACCCTGCTCCTGGAGGGAGTGAGTAGCGGTAATTGTGGTCATATTGAATGGTTGTGGAATATTGTGTTGTCTTTGCTCTTGAAAGGTTCGTGAGCAGATGGTTGACTCAATTCGCGATATTTCTTAGATTAAGAATGTTGGGAATTAGTGTATCAGAATTAAGATACTAAATTCTTTGTGAAATTCGGAATTACTTGCATGTCATGATCAGCATATCTCCAAGTGGAAATCCAGTCTTGGAAGTAGATATACCTCTACATGGCTGTGATTGGACTGTATGTCTTAAGTGGGTCCCAGGTTTAGGAAAGCCTCGCCGACGCTGTGACTTTCCACCGAAAAACGCCCCTCACCTGGGCAGCGCCACTTCCCCGGTCTCGGTTTCAAGATAGAGATAGTCATAGCTATCTGTTCGATAACGGCGGGGCATACTTCCCGAGATTTATCGTGGAGTAAACCTCCCCACGGTGTCAACTTCCTCTCATCCCATCTCCGTGCTGACAATTGGAATTACCTACACTCTCCTGGAGCCGATGATCCAGATTGAGTGTCTTACTCCTAACCTAGCTTCACCGACCTGTCTACTCAACTTGCAGCTGATTGTCGCATGTGAGGGTGGGTGGAGGTCTCGATCCCATGTCCGCCCCAGTTCGATCTAAGAAGCGCACGAAAACCTTTACAGGATGCTGGACTTGCCGGACCCGCAAGATCAAGTGTGATGAGGCCAAGCCGTGTTGTAGTCAGTGCTATGAAAAAGGTCTTAGCTGTGAGGGATACTCTACCCGCTTGCAGTGGCTCACACCAGCCACAGGCAAGCGTGGCCTTCGCTCGGTGGACCCACCGGCGGGTTCCGTGAGCCAATCTCTCAGGCGTTTCATGCCTGCAGGTGAGTTGCACTGGCGAATTGTGCCTTGTGGCGCACTGCTATTCCGTTTGGTGTGTAGTATATTGATGTGAATCTTAGAGCCTCTAGAATACACCTTAGACTGGGACCAGGTAGATGACATTCTCCACTATCTTGATTCCCTGGAATCTGTTGTCAACCCCCGCAGTGAGGATGTTAGTGCCAACATTCAGAATTTTGGCGTCTTTCGTGTTCAACAAAGTACTTCGTCTGGTCTCGATGAACATAATGTCACACCTCCTTGCACAACTGAAGTCTGTCAGCCCGAGGATGGGTACGATCTTATCTTCGATCCGCAATCTGTTTCCATAGAGTCGGAGCCATGGAATGATAATTCCGAAGCAGGGGCAGCATGGAGCCTTTGCAATCTTCATGGACAACCGTTGACCTTAGACTTTACTCAGCAACAAGAATTGGCCCCCGCTGTTGTCCCAGTGACGCCAGGCAATGCTTCGAACTCTCCAGCCTACACACACCATGTTGCACAATCGCAACCTCTGGAGTCAGAGGAGCTGATTCTCCCGCAGGGGGGGCGAGAGAAACCCCTCGAACAAGACGCAGCATATCTCCTCTCCTATGACAAATACACTTGAGAGCCTGGTCGTTCCGTCGCAAGAACGACTCCTCATGAGACACTACAGCCACCGAGTCGTCAATCTATTCTGTGTAATTGACAACTCCAAAAGTCCCTGGAAGACAATCCACTTACCTCGTGTCCTGCAATCTGCTGGTGAACTAAGCTTTGGATGTACCACATCACGGATCCGCGACGCATTAAAGAATTCATTGCTTTCTATAAGCGCATTTTGTCTATCGAACGATCATAGATCTCATTACCGAGCAGAAGAAGCTAGGAATTGGGGCACAATTGCTTCGCGATATCGTTGTGACGCCATTGGACTTCTGAAATACGCTGTGGAAACGGATCTCTATGCCGACAAGAGACCAAAGTATAAGGAGTTTCTTGCCACTATGCTTTCAATGATCACAATTAATGTACCTCAAACACCCGTGCACTGTTGCATCTTGACACAGCTGTGCTAACCTCTCTCTCTCAGGTTATGTCTGGAGATACAAGTACTTGCAGTGTTCATTTGGATGGAGCGGAAAAGCTCATAAGCCATATGAATACTCGGAAGTCGACTTTCTCCCGGAAGGCTCAATCACTCCATCGAATCTACCTTTACCTGCGCGTGATCTATGAAAGTACTGCCGTTAGAAGGTCAAAAAGCGGAATTTCCAGGTTTTCGCCATCACTAGGCTCACAAAGAACGTTTGGCCCGCAACCTGTATTTTCCAAGCAGCACCTTTTCATTGAAGACGATGAGACGCCTTCATCGATGATTCCCATGGGGGCGGATATGATAACAGGCGAGAGCACCTTATTAGAGATGTCGGCATACGAATGCATATACGGTATACCGCAAAGCCTTCTGATTCTCCTAAAGGAATCCATCGAGGTCATCGATGAGGTGAATCACCATCGCATGAATACGGAGGACACGTCTATCCCAGAGAGTCTGAACCAAATTTGTGACGACCTTGAACAGAAGATCATGGACTGGCCACTCGATGAGCGGCTTCATCGTTACGAAGAGTCTACAAATGGCATCAGTGCCACCATCATCTACCACCAGACTCGAGCATTCCTAAATGCTCTCATCATCTATTTCTCGCAGAGTGTCAGGTTAATGAGCCATCGGTATCTCCGCCAATATGTCCAGGCAGTTCTAGATAGTATCGAGGCCATTGAACAGCTCAAAGCGGAAACTAAAATCCTTGCTGCCCCGCTTTTCTGGCCAGCATTCATGGGTGCCACTGAGGCCTTTGAGCCTAGACACCAAGAACGCTTTCGTTTGTGGTACGAGCGAGTGGAAGTATATGGAATTGAAGCTGTGAGGACAGGCATACAAGTTGTGCACGAAGTTTGGAGGCAGGGACCAACAACAAATCGACAAATGCATTCTGGCTGGCGCAACGTTGTGGAACAGACGGGGGATCATCTCATGTTAACTTAAGATTTTATGATATTTAGCCTATTGAATGAATAAATGTATTATAGCTGAGGTAGTTCACTCCTCGGGAAACTTTCTCAAGGTCAGAACCATCCAGCCCAACTAGTTCCGCGTAAAATGCTCTACTCGCGAAATGATCCCAATACTCTAAGACTGTCCATTTCCGCTTGTAATTAGAACTGAGCCCCCTAGAGGGTCCTATGGATCTCTTTCAGTTTCGCTGACACTTTCCCCGAGCCGAATCGCGCCACCTCAGTAGGTCCACATTTTTCCAGAGCTATTTTCAAGCTTATTTGGGAGCTCATAAAAGTGATGCTGGTGCACTCAATGGACTCGAACTATTCCTTTACAACTTTAGAAAATACTAGAGCAAATATCGGAGAAAATGCGCTGCTTAAGGAAAGTTGGGGAGCTTAGTCTTCGGCCACGCATTGCGTCGGTTTGCCGTGGTCCGGTACAACGTCGGTTTAACGCCAATTCCACGCGAAGAGCACCAAATGCATCCGAAAGCTCCTCCACTCCAAAAGAAACGGTTAATGGAAAAGGGTTGGTAGTAGGTGTTGCGGTGGTCGCTAGTCTAGCGGGCTATGGCATCTCAACGCTTTCTACCGGTGGCGCAAACAAACCAAGTAGCACCCGTGCTATTCTAGACCCAGAACGACTTCCTACAGTCAAATATGCGACACTTGAAGACATGCAAAAAGTGAGTTCCGCTCTGCAATTCTGCGTATCTGATTTCACACGCGCAGCGATGCGCCAGTCAGTAAGTCTAACTACTTTGATTCAAACAGGCCATAGCTCAGATCGAATACGAATTACGCGACACTGAAGACATAATCTCAACAGACGATGAGGACCTCAAAATGCATGGATTCGCAGAGTGGTCATCTGTCAGGGTCGATACGCTACCCATCGCTGTCGCATATCCTCGGAACACCGAACAAGTCAGCACTATTGCGCGCATTTGCCATGAAAGAAAAGTCCCAATCATTCCCTACAGCGGGGGCAGCAGTCTTGAAGGCCATACTGCTGCACCCTTTGGTGGCATCAGCATGGATTTCGTGTATATGAATCAGATCATAAAGATCAATGAAGATGATATGGATGTCGTGGTTCAACCTAGTGTTCAGTGGGTGGATTTGAACGCACAGCTAAAGAGTATGGGAACTGGACTTTTCTTCCCGATGGATCCAGGTTTGTGACCAAATTGATACTCACTACCATCAGTTTGACATTTATTAACTTCATACAAAGCTCCTAGCGCGAAAATCGGAGGAATGATAAGTACGAATTGCTCAGGCACAAATGCGGTGCATTACGGTACTATGCGCGACTGGGTCATCAATCTCACCGTCGTCCTAGCCGATGGAACTGTCATCAAGACTCGAAAGCGCCCGCGCAAATCCAGCGCCGGATACAACCTAAACGGTCTCTTCGTCGGCTCGGAGGGTACACTCGGAATCGTAACCGAAGCCACGCTGAAGCTGGCTGTTCTACCTGAGAACTACTCTGTTGCTGTCGTACCTTTCAATACAATTCACGATGCTGTCTCGGCCGCTACCAAGGTCATCCGCCGAGGAGTTCCGGTTGCCGCTCTTGAACTCATGGATGAGACCCAGATGCGTATTGTGAACGAGGGTGGTGTCACACGGCCGCGAGTATGGCAGGAAAAGCCAACTCTCTTCTTCAAGTTCTCTGGGTCGAAGCTTATGTTGGAAGAGGCTATTCAGAATGTGAAACAGATTACTGAAGCTTATGGCTCGCAAGGTTTTGAATTCGCTCGTGATGAGAGAGAGCAGACACTTCTCTGGTCGGCGCGGAAAGAGTCTCTGTACTCTTTACTAGCGCTTCGTAAGGAGGGCGAAGAGATGTGTGAGTTGTAGACTGCTTCGATCATTGGCGGATTTGAAACTAATTGAATGTGCTGGCTCTCAGGGAATACCGATGTCGCAGTCCCATTGAGCCACCTGGCTGATATAATTGTTACCAGCAAGCAGGACGCGGCGGCCTTGGGCTTAAACGCCTGTGTCAAGGGTCACGTTGGTGATGGTAACTTCCACGAAAACATCACATATGACGGTACAAGCCCGGAGGAGTATGAAAAAGCCAAGAAAGCTGTCAAAAACATGGTTCAACGGGCGATCGATATGGAGGGGACTTGCACGGGTGAACACGGTATCGGGTTTGGTAAGAAAGAAGCTCTTCAACAGGAGGTCGGAAATGCGACTATCTCATTTATGGTATGTTTTCTTTTATCATCCACATTCAGAATCAACGATTATCTACAGTCGGTGGATAAATGACGGTTGCTAACTATATCTTTTACGTAGAAAATTCTCAAGGGAACCTTTGACCCTCACTGGATTATGTATGTGAAACCCGCAAACCGGACTACCTCTCTTTTTCATGATAATTTCTGACTTAGCTTTTTCTATAGGAACCCTGGGAAGGTTTTTGATAGGTAGAGAAGCTTTATATCTCTGGTTGAAGGACAATCAACATAATCGCCCCGTTACTTGTCTACGCATCTCCAACCATGAGTAGTTTACATCAATGAGGGAGCTAACAGGAGATTTTGTAAATGAGTAAAGAGCATACATGTTTACTCGAAAGATTTTGGATTGTCTCGATTTCATTCTTCAAATTTGTCATCGTCGACGTCCCGGGTAGATATATATTGTCAATAAATGTGCAGTTTACAACCACCACTTTATCCCTTGGATATTCTTTACTTTTTTAGAGTCTAGATCGAAACTTCCAGGTTGTCAGGTACTCCATCTACTTGAAACACACTATATACAGGAGATTTGAAGTCGATGAAATCAAGGCTATGTGTGGCGCTAGCTTCTTTTGGGGGTTCAACATCCCGACTTTACGGGCTGAGCAGGCAATGCAGTAATATAAATGTCGCCAAATTATTTCCTTAACATGGGCTAGTCTTACCTTTCGTAACTCTGCAATCAGCCCATATGTATTGCATCGTGCATTCCAATATCTCCCATGATGTTGGATTGTATTCGGATCTTGATTACTCGGTAGTACCCGAGGGATAAGGTTCGGGTCGCGATTTACCACACTTAGCCATATTTCGTCTATGTATATTGATTTCAGAATGCTACATAATCAGTCGACCCTAGCTAGCGGTGCTGGTGTTGATAATTTTTTTCATAGTGCTTATGGTATAGGCCACTATCGCCGTGGGCGACTTAGGCATAGCCTACTACAGCCAAATACGATTGCCTTCAGTCTCGTCGAAGTTCGTGGTTGAAAAAACCCAGTTAGAAATAGTAAAGTCGTAGCTTTCCAGTAAGGAGGCTGGGTCTTCTTGATCAAGAAAGGAAGCTTCTCAAGTCTCTCCTTCCATTGGATAATCTCAGTCCCATCTGTGAGTTTGTGACGAAGAGGGCTTGTGGAGATTAGGAATTGTGATTTCACCTAGGTAGAGGATTGTAGCGATATTAGGTGATCCAGATAATGTAGATCATTTTCTTGGCTGCGCTTATGTTGTAACAAAGGAATACTTCATATCATGCACCTAATGCTGTCTTGCATACCTAGTTGTAGTACTAGGTAGATAGATGTGTGCACAGGTAGATCAATTGCTAAAGGCGGTCTGAACATTGAGCAGTAAGTTGACCGCCCCCGGTAGGCGAAGCATCGATAAGGAATTGCGGGATATCTTGCCCACTACCCACTTAACCTCAAAACATAACCTACACCAATCCATTAGTAAAGAGTCTTGTGGCTCTTGAGCTCATCGGTGAATAAATCCTGCTGTATCCAGCTGTGCAGGTTTAGCCCATCCAACACCACTTCATCCACCCAGCTTCCACATCAACCCTCTTCGGAAACAGAGAGTGAGAGAACGTACACTACCCCATCCCACCATGGAGGACTTCAATAGTGAAACGGACAGCGATTATACCAGCTACTGGCGAGACTGGGTAAGTGAATTTCTTTCCTTTTTTTGATTTCATTTCCCTACGCGCGAGCTGTTATCTCTATGGAATGGGAGAATGAGGAGCGCCTGTCATGCGCTTATCCCGCTCACCCCGCGGAATCCGGACTCTGGCCTAGTGTCAGCCTGTTACCGCGACGATTTTCGAAGGTCTCGGTGTCAAGTACGCAGACTCAACGCGCGGGATCATGTCTCGCAGACCAAACGCGCGGGATCATGTCTGCGACATAAATACCCGACACGACCCTACGATCCTTTTCGATCCTTTCACACTTCTCCTGGCACATTTGACATCTACTCTTATCATTGCTCCGCTTGATCCCCTTCCTCATCATGGAGCGCGACCCAACCCTCTGGGTTCTCTGGTTCTGGCTAGTCTTCTTGGCCGCGTGCGCAGGTGGATTCTTTCAGCTTGCTGGTGATTTTGCACGCGATCACGATAGGGAGACTTCCTTCATGTGTATCTCATTTGCAATCATGTGTCTCATGTATTTCGTCCGCTTGCTCCCCCTCTACGTCCAGCTACGCCTGGATCTCGTCCATGACCGCAATGGCTCCAACGGGCCTCCTGGTCCTGGTCCTGATTCTGATTCTAGCGCCGGGCAGCGTGGACGGCAACTCAATGACCATTCTTCGCAACTTTCTCGCCGTGGTGCTGGGGGTGGCGGGTCCTCAACGTCCTCCCGTTATTCTACTACTACCTACCCTCCCAGTTCTGGTCGATACCGTGACGCAATCTTGATCACAATCGTGCTAATGACAATCATCTATTACCAGTTCGTTTCTTCTCGCGGCAATGAATATTTCTGCGAAATTGACGAGGACTACCTGACGGACCGCTTCAACCTCACCGGGTTGAATACCGAGGTTTCCTACTACCAATACGCCCTTGATCTTGTCACCGACGTTTTCGATCTTGATGCCGACGATGATCTGCGTGAGCAAATCGAAAAGTCTGCTCGTCACCTTTACGGCTTGGTTCATGCTCGGTATATCGTGACCACTCGTGGTCTTGCTAAAATGGTATGTTAAACCCTGAACTTCTGTGAATATTATTCCCTAGGACAAAAGCACTAACCATCCCTGCAGCTCGAGAAGTACAAGAAGAGTGACTTTGGGAAGTGCCCACGTGTGATGTGTGATGGACACGCCTTGCTTCCTTTGGGCGAGTCCGATCTTCCGAATGTCAGCACCGTCAAGTTGTACTGTCCCAAGTGCGAAGATATCTACAACCCAAAATCCTCCCGCCACTCATCCATTGACGGCGCATACTTTGGTACCTCGTTCCATTCCGTCCTCTTCCAGGTTTACCCTGCTCTCAATCCCGAGAAGAGCAGTCGCCGTTACGAACCCCGTATCTACGGTTTCAAGGTGCACTCTGCAGCTGCCCTTGCTCGTTACCAGGACAATCAGCGTGAAGAACTCAAGTGGCGCCTCGCTGAAGCCGACATCACCCACCGCTTCATCGAGGACAGCGAAAGTGATGATGACGCCTTCGAATATGACGAGGACTACGCCGAGGGTCCCGCGGAGCCAGCCAAAAACGACAAGCTCCTCGGTGACGCAGCTTCGGCTCGCATGAACGTCGCCAAGTAATCTTGACAGACATTCCATTACGAATCTTTCATGGGCAGCATTTCGGCGCAATGAGGGATACGTGGTATGCTTGTGCTTTTCTTCAGATGTTTTCACGACGGCGTTGTCTGGGTCGCATGGATATTTGCGATGGGTTTTTTCTTTCTCCGACTTCGTTTGTACGTAAATTACCAGTCTAGTCCACCCCTAGGGGAAATGAGGACTCAATTGAAACCACATAACTTATCCAATTTCTCACAACGGAGACCGTTGTTAGGCTTTATGGCCGGGATAGTGAGAGATGATGAGCTCACTACTGAAGATGAAGTCATATATTATGTCGGGTACTTTACTTGAAACCGTCACCTTTAATACTCAACAAGTTTGTCCTTCTGAGAATAAGAACTACGGGGCTAGCTTCATTTCCTGCAATTGTTCAAATGCAAACGTTACCGCACGAGCCAATTGATCGCCATTCTCCCATGCCTCATCATGAATACCGCTGATCGACAAGACGCGAAGCCGTCTATCAGGGGTTGAATCCTCTTGCGCCGGTATCTGTGCCTCTGTCTTCTCCCAGTTGCCCAAAGCCTCCTTCATGACCTCTACTTGAGACCCGTCTACCAATCCATCATCCTTGGACCATGCAAGAACGGCCAATCTTCCAGACTTCCACCCGCCTTCTACTCCACGAGAGCCAGCCACCCGAGCCGGTGATACTCCGTCCCAGAGCGTCTCATCCGCCCCAAAAGCCCCCTCAATAAACTCCTGATAAGCCGAGATGTCAACATGGGTATCCCTCAGCCGTCGCAGATCGTAAATGCCCGCCACACCAACAATGGCAGTAGGTTGCGCTGTCAATGTAGCCTGTTCACGATGACCTGAGACCGTGCCCATCACAGCTTGGAAAGCCAGCGTTGCGCCACAACTGTGGCCAACCAGGATGTATCGCGTGCCGAATTTGTATGTACTCTGGAGGAATGCGAGCGCTGCCTCTACATCGGTGATATGTTCAGGGTGTTTCGCTTCTTGGAAGTCCTTCGGGTCGGTAGCGCTTGGGTCTTGTGGGTGATTGGGGTGAGCGCTGAGACGGTACGAAATCGAGGCGAATCCGGCAATAGGTAGGCCTTTCTCGCGTAGTATGGATTCCGTAGCATCGAAAGATGCTGATGTAACCACTGGATCCCGCCAGGCACCACCGTGGATGTAGCTAGATACAAGCATCAGACGTTAGTCATTGCTTTGGGGTAGCATTGTGTTGGGACTCGCGTACATCACCCAGTACCCATCCTGGCGTGGAGCTAAGGTTGTGACATTGATGCTTTGTAGATTATGGACCTGTCCATAGACTACCGTCTCCGTATTTGAGTGATCCGACATGGTGCCTTGCGGAGTTGCTTGATTTATGGGGAAGTGGGACATGTCGATAGATTACGGCCACGTTAGGAGGAGCATCGTGCAGAAGCTGTTATCATTGGACTGATATCTTGTTAGGTACACTTCGACTTCGCGTCTTCCAATGTCCCGGTGTCTTCTGGCCATTTTGTTTTTTTCTTCCCGTATCTGGTCTTGCTTTAGACCAAAACATAGCAAAAGGAGTCTTTAGTAGAATGAGAATTCTCCGATGAGTCCTTGGTAGTGTAATATGACAGTATTGCCCCTCCATCTATATAGTGAAATATTGTAACCAATTTCGATGTGTATTGGTACCACGCTAAGCCCGATCAGGAATGAATGGTCCCTTTCACACAAACCCTCCAAGTCCACCGTCTCGACCTTAACAACCGCCCAACTGTTGCAATCCTTCACAATGGCCGAGTAAGTGATGATCTATTTTGATCCGTGACAACATGATGCTGACCGACTCGCAGAACTCCAGCTCCCCTCGCGGCCGTTCAGGTCGAGGCCTTGGTATGGTCTCCCCGACGAAAATCTCCCTCAGTCCTCGCCAACCAGAAATACTGACGTCGGACGTTCCAGGTTGTCATGAAAATCATCAAGCACTGCTCTCAGACCTTCCCCTCCACTGCCACCGGCGCGATTGTCGGCATGGATGTCGATGGCACCCTCGAGATCACCAACACTTTCCCATTCCCCGTCGTCGAAGTCCCCGCCGAGTCGCACTTTGACAACGCCGCTCCCAACCCGGCCGCTGCCGCTCCTCGCGCTAAGGCAAACGCCGCCTACTCTGCAGAGATGATCCGCATGCTGCGCGAGGTCAACACTGATGCCAACAGCGTCGGATGGTACACCAGCGCCAACATGGGCAACTTCGTCAACATGAACGTGATCGAGAACCAGTTTTACTACCAGAGCCAGTTGAACGAGCGCACAGTCGCCCTCGTTCACGATGTCAGCCGCAGTGCCCAGGGTAGCCTCAGCCTCCGTGCTTTCCGCCTGTCCTCCAAGTTCATGACTGCCTTCAAGGAGAACAAGTTCACTTCCGAGGAGTACGTGCAATGACCTCAAAAATCGAAAAAGAAAAAAAAAATTCCATGCCCGGCATGAATACTGACAATAATTGTAGCCTCCAAAAGTCTAACATGCGCCACCCCGACATCTTCGAGGAACTGCCCGTCAAGCTCCACAACTCCCACCTGATCACCTCTTTCATCCACCAGCTGCAGTGCCCGACTTCCTCAGCATCCACTGAGCTCCCCTCCTCCCTGGCTGCCCTCGAGTCCAGCCCCTTCAGCAAAACCTCCACCCTCACCCCCAACCTCGACAACCTGTCCCTCAGCATCGATCCCTTCCTGGAGAAGAACTGCGATCTCCTTCTGGACAGCATCGAGACCCACAACACCGAGGTCAACAACTACCAATACTACCAGCGTGTGCTCGGCCGCGAGCAGCAGAAGATCAACGCCTGGAAGGCCAAGCGCGCACAAGAGAACGCCAGCCGTGCCACTCTCAACCAGCCCCTCCTCCCCGAGGACGAGTGGCAGCGTCTGTTCAAGCTTCCCGCCGAGCCCAGCCGTCTGGAGAGCATGCTCAACACTCGCCAGGTGGACCAGTACGCGCGCCAGGTCGACAGCTTCGTCTCGTCCAGCACGGGCAAGATGTTTGCCATCAAGGGCAACCTGCTGCCCAACGAGACCTCGAACTAAACGTTGATGATTGCGAAGGGGAGACACGACGCTTCTGGTATTGCATGACCTTTTTACGGCGTAGGGAGGGAAAATGTTCTCTATTTTGGATGTTAATATGACTTCCTGTTTCTTTTTTCTTCTATGAGCGGAGCTGAGTCTCTGGGGCATTAGACTCCTGCGTTGTATCGACTTGTATTCGATCATAGAAGGGAATCTTTATTTTGTTTAGAATATAACAAACACATTGAACAGGTCAAATTCTCTTGTACTGTTGTACGTTTTCCTTTTTACAATTGGATAATCTACGGATGGAGCGAAGCGATCTAAGACTAATGTAAGACAAATGTAAAGTTAGATTGATCTGTGAAATCGGATATCTACAGAACCTGATGGCTGTGAATGCATCTGTAATCATCAACTACCATCCAGCAGGGGGGTAGTAGGGGTTACGAACCTCGGCGGGAACTGCAGCCTCGAGCATATCGGCGATTTGATATCCAAGGGCTGGATCATCGTCCCCCAAAAGAGAGCAAATGGCGTTGAGGTACAGAGGCTGCAGATTGCAGCAAGTCTGATGGAAGACAGTGTCACCGATGACAAGCGAAGCCTCAATGGAGCCAGGGGTCAACTGAGCAAGCTCCTTAAGGTGGTCGACCACCTGAAGGCGACGGCCGGGGTTAGTCCGAAGCCGATGGACCTGGGTCTCGAGAACATCAAGGTAGTAGCTGCGCTCCATGCGGTAGATGCTGTCGGGTTGAACGAGAGGCATGGTGAAGGTGTGATGGGGGCGATGGAAGTAATAGAAGGTTAGTACTTATCTGTGGGATGTGTGAGGACTGTGCTGGATGGACTGTTGCTTGATGAGAGTATATTCGAGGTGGGATCGAAACTATTTATGCAGTTCGAGTAGTCGAGTTCGAATACTCGATGAAGTGTATCTTGGAAGATGAGAACAATAGAGGTATAAAAGATCCTTTGTTTAGATCTAGTCTCTTTGATATTCATAGTCACCAGGAATAATACTCTGCACGACATGTTGTAGTTCATAGTACATGAGAAAAGCCATCCAAATCTACAACAATGACAAGATTTTGTTTGATTTGATGTCGTTTGAGTATGTGGGTAATATATAAATACATATAGTTGAACAAGAAAAGTGGTTGCGGCCTGGTAAATGTACAGCTTTTCATATCTGAGCAGGCATGGGTTAATGAATAATCGTACATCTCGGTTACCATGCTTCCCCTGTAAGCTTCAATGGAATGTGAAGCAACCGATGACCAAATTTCGTTGGTGCAGGAAGGTGTCCTGCTCGAATGTTGACCTGCAAGGATTGGTGAAGCAGCTTGGGTGCTGCCAATCCCGCATCACGTTCCTTTCGCAAAGTTACAAACTCCTCTTCGCTGATACCATCTTTCAGATGCTTGTTCAGCTTCTTGTGACCCTGAACACTCACCCAAGGAACGGGGTCACGTCCGTCCGGTGGATAATCATGACCTGTCCAGATTTTGAAGTGGTCAGGGAGGCTTAGAAGCTTGCGGCCCGATCGAAAGAGGTCATTGGCATCGCCACCGGGGAAGTCACAGCGCGCAGTGCCAATGTCCACATGGAAGAGAGAATCGCCGCAGAATAGATTATCTGAAAAAGATTTTGTGAGTAACTGTGTAGCAAGTTAATTATTGATGGTAGATAATTACCTCCAATCATGTAACCAAGATGATCCGGGGTGTGTCCAGGTAGATGAATAGCCTTTCCTTTCAAGTTCCCAATAGTAAATGTCTCGTCATCGTCGAAAAGCCTGTCGAAAATGGCTTTATATTCCTCTTGTGGGACACCATATCTTTCGGCGAACAGTTTTTGGACTTGTTCAATGCGCTTGCCAATGCAAATGGGTGGTTTATGACCTTGATCCTGGGCAAGATGTTTTTGGAGATAAGATGCTGCAGACAAATGATCTGCATGAGCATGCGTTTCGAGAATCTTGTCGATCTTATAGCCCTTTCCCTTGATAAGAGACAGCAAGGAGTCGGCTGCCTGAGTGGTCACAGCCTGAGTGGCGGGATCATAGTTCAAGACTGGATCGATGATGACAGCAGTTGATGTCGACGGATCGGCGATGAGATACTGCCATGTTCCAGATGTGGGCTCGAAAACATGGTGAATTACAGGCTCAGTAGATATAGAGGATGCAGTGCTGTACGTGACTCGGCGTGAGATTAGATGGTTGGTAGGGATGGAACATGAGCGTGGCGAGGATGCTTGGTCCCGACGATGGACGGATTGTCCGTTTTGTGATTGACGAACTATCCCCTTGACCGAAAGGCTGTTTCTTGAAGATTTTGAGGTATGAGATACACTTGTTGGTGTCGCTTGTTGGATATGACGCAATTGTCTAAAGCCAAGCTGCATTGAAGTTGGAATGGGCCTGCTAGACAATCCGAGAAGATCCGTCGACCATTGCCGGCCGACTCTTGACGATTGCTGCCGCATACTAATCATGATGTTCGGGGTTTGAGGAAAAAAACAATTGGTGCTAGACGTAAGAGCTGTCGCGGTGGTTATACTTGAAAGTCTTGGGTCGGCGACTCGGTGAGCATCTCTGAAGGAAGCCGGCAAGGTCGCCGATTGAAGGAAAAGGAGTCATTACGACACCATCCAATGAATATGTTGGAATTTTTGCCACAAACTGTCAAATTCAGGAACAGATGATGATATTAGCCAAGCATATTGTTAGATACTGTTGTTGAGGTGTTCAATCCCTTATATTAAGGTGAACCAAGATCACACATCAAAATCGAGTCCACATGCACAACCACTATCAGACCCTAAAGGGAGATACTTTTAAAGTCCAAGTGAGACATATCTGAGTTAAACATGAAACATCCCGATAGTTATTGTAAGTGTTGTACTTTTTTTCTTCTGGCAGAAGCCCGAAAGGGTTCGGCGAATAAACGCCGAAACTCCCGATATCGGAACGGGTTAATCCGAAATCACGACATCGTAAGTTCCAGCCCTGAAGCTATTTTAGGTACTTCAGGGCTCTTGATCACTCTGTTTTTTTGCCTTGTATATTCAAGATGTTTCAGCGTCGCACAGTAGTTGCTGCTAAGCGCTCCGTCGCTCAGTGGAGGAGTCTCGCGACCGCGTCTCCCGTGAGCTCTGCACGAAGCCACAAAATCGTAGTGGTCGGCGGTGGTACTGCTGGTCTCTCTATCAGCCACCAGCTCCTGCACTCTGGCAAATTTGCGCAGGATGATATTGCTGTGATTGACCCCGCTACATGGCACAACTACCAACCCGGCTGGACACTGGTTGGCGGTGGCCTCAAGGACAAACAGGAGCTGCGCAAGCCATTGAACAGCTTGATTGACCCCAAGTTCAAGTTTTATAACGAGAGTGTTGGCTCCTTCGCCCCCGCTGAGAATGCGCTCACTCTTGAGAATGGCGACAAGATCAACTACGAGCATCTGGTGGTGGTGCCCGGTATTAGCATCAACTATGGCAATATCAAGGGTCTCCCTGAGGCTCTCGCAGACCGAAACTCCACTGTTTCGACAATCTATAGCTACGACACTTGCGACAAGGTTTTCCGCACAATTGAAAACTTCCGCGAAGGAAATGCTATTTTCACTCAGCCAGCCGGAGTGGTCAAGTGTGCAGGTGCTCCTCAGAAGATCATGTGGCTTGCGTTGGACCACTGGAAACGAGCTGGCCTCTACAACCCTACCAGCCCCTCTGAGTCACCCGTCAAGATTAGCTTTGCGACCGGTCTTCCAGTGATGTTCGGTGTACCCAAATACAGCGCCGTCCTCGAGCAGATGCGGAAGGATCGCGGTGTTGAGGGACTGTTCCAGCACGATCTCCTTGCCATTGATGGCAAGACTGCCATCTTTGCCTCTCCCGAGGGAGAGGTCGTCAAGCCATTCGACCTCTTGCACGTCTCGCCCAAGATGGGTGCTTATGGTTTCGTCAAGAACAGCCCTCTAGCCAACGAGGCCGGATTCGTCGATGTCGATGACAACAGCACCCAACACAAGAAGTTCCCCAACGTCTGGTCTGCCGGTGATGCTTCCAGCTTGCCCACATCTAAGACTGCCGCAGCCGTCACTTCCGAGGCACCGGTTCTCGTTCGCAACCTTCTGCAGAGTATGGAGGGCAAGGAACTGGATGCTTCCTACGATGGATACACCTCATGCCCCCTTCTGACCCAGTATGGCAAGGTCCTTCTTGCTGAGTTCAAGTATGGCGGTGTGCCTAAGGAGACATTCGGCGACTGGTTTGGCATTGACCAGGCCGAGCCCCGCCGCTCATTCTGGTACCTGAAGAAGGACTTCTTCCCCTGGGTGTACTTCAACTACATGATCAAGGGTAACTGGGGTGGACCTAAGGGCTGGCTATAGAGGAAAATGTGGAGGTCATGTATATTATCCCTGTGTCGCGATATGATGGTAGTACCTCAAGGTTCTCTAATAGTTAAGGGCTAAAAATAGAAATATAAAAATCCTTGAGTCATTTCTAACTGTGTCTAGGTAAATGTAAAGTCGATTTCGGTAGTGTTGTCTTTACACGACTCTCTTCACATGCAAGTCCCGTTTCCTCTACAGACACGTGACCAGTATATCAATGACGTCATTTCTGATCATGCTGATACCGATCAGCAAGTGAATCCTCAGGTGGGAATCTTCAAAGGCATTCTCCTGGTCCAATCTTTAAATATTTAAAATGTGTCAACCACATAAATCAGAGCTCGTTCGTTCTGTATTTTCTCCATGTACAACACTCATTCCGATATTTGGGTTGTGAGTGGCACCCGATCAACTCATCTCCAGTCCAACTGGCTTCCTACATTTAACACAAGATACATGCTTCCAATTACAATCGCTAACTGGGATATCTCGCTCCATAGGCAGGTGCATTTGCCGCAGTCGTAGTCGATTTTATCGTTTATCCCTTCGACACACTCAAGACCCGCGTTCAATCTCTAGACTATGAGCAGGTCTACAAAGATGCTCGCACAGGAGCAGTCCGCCGCGATGTGCTCTTCCGAGGATTGTACCAAGGCGTCTGGAGTGTGGTTTTCTCGACTATTCCAGCTTGTATGTGTTGGCTCTTATTGATGAACCGCGGACGAGGAACATGACAGCTGACCATCCTATCTCTCTACTTAATCTAGCTGGTGCATTCTTCACCACATACGAAGCTGTGAAGAGCATTATGTACAATTCCTCAACAAACTCCCCCATGAGTGCGACCTCTGGCAAAAGAACTTTCCCCGATGGTTCTCTGAACAGTTTTCGCTTGCCTTTCACCCATTCCCTCCCTACCCCAATTATGCATGGAATTGCATCTTCAACTGGGGAGATGGTATCATGCCTCATGCTTACGCCGGCAGAGGTATTAAAGCAAAATGCGCAGATGATTCAAGGCTCCCAAACAAACACATCCGCCATGCGACAAGTACTTTTGCGATTTCGACGTCATCCTTGGCGCTTATGGAGTGGGTATACGGCACTAGTTGGTCGAAACCTCCCAACTACAGCTTTACAATTTCCCATCTTTGAGTATGTGCGGTCACATCTGATTGACCGTCGGAGACAACGGAAAGCAGCTCGCAGCGACACCGACCGACCTCCATCGGCGCAGTCAGATCAACTAGTCGAACGGGCCGGCTTGACGGGGATAGCTGCAGCATTTTCAGGGACGGTCGCGGCGACAGTGACTACTCCAATAGACGTGATAAAGACCCGCGTTATGCTTTCCGCAAGTGATACTGGCGCTAGGCCCCAAGATCAAAATACTCAGGCTGGTACTCGTGGCAGTGCAGAGGTATCTTCGCAGGCGCGAACAAAAGCCAAACCCGATACATCTCTCATTTCTGTTGGCCGCCATATCATACGTTACGATGGCATCCGTGGGTTGTTCAAGGGTGGGCTAATACGGGCTGGTTGGACTGCGATTGCATTAGGCTTGTATCTCAGTCTGTATGAAGGAGGTCGTTTTTATTTGGAGAATCGAAGGAAGGAGAAGGATCGTGCTAGTGGAAAGCTTGGAAATCGAGCCTATGAAGGCGAGGAGATCGTTTAGTAGGATAGTATTGTGTAGCGTTATCCACCTTCGTCGCGCCGCTGTCGCTGCCAGTGAAAGGGTCCATGGATGCTCGACTCATAATCTTCCATCATCTACTAAAATCCCAGCCTTGGAGGAAGATCGTTCTTTGTTCTCTCAGGATTCTGCTGTGTCTCTTTGATTCCATTCTGGAGACAAAGTGATTGACTGGCAATGAACAAAGAAGAGGCCCCGCTGTATGAAGTACATTGTATTTTAGTTTCTCGAGGCCGCTTTGAACGGAAACAAACGTCAAAAGAGAACAAAAGGTATTTTTGAACTCAGATATCAGATATATTTGTTTGACTGGGCCTTCAACTATATAAACCATATGCCCACCCTACATTGACTACACATCAGCACCCTACAAGTGTATTTCAGTTCCTGTATCCAATCCACTCAATCGATTTCTAGATTCAATCATGCCGAACATTTATAAAAAACACAAGGCCTTGGACATCCCCGTGGACACCGATGAAACCTGGGACGCAGATGACGAGGACTCTTCTTCTGCCGCTTACGACTCTAGCTCGGATACCGCTTGCGATCCCTTTGACTTTGTACCGCTATCGATTGCACTCGGATCGCAACAGGAAACCCGCCGCTTATTTAGTTTCACAGTCCGCCGTGATGAATATAGGTCTCTAAGCGCGCCCGGTAAGTCTGATGGCTGGATTGACGCCTCTCACTTCCTCTGGACCATGTGCGCTACACTCGCAGATGCAGGTACTGACCTCGAATGGGCCGCAGCATTCGAGAAATGGCGACCCCAGTGGAGGAAAGTCCAGACGCAAGTGAAGACATTCGGATATACTCAGTTTTCTTCTGAGATCCCTCCTGCGCCGGTTGATCTTGCTTTGATCCAGTTCTCTGGGTCCTCATCTGACAAGAAGGGCAGAGAGTTTGAGATCGAGCAAGAGGGCCCAAATAGTGTCTCAAGTTCTCAGGATATCTGGACCCTTTGGCGATATATTATTGAGACGCCTGCGGATCAGATCAAAGAGTTCCATGTTACCCTTAGAGATACTACGAGGGTTGTGGGCTCTCAGTAGATTGTAGGATGCGTTGGGCATTTATATATGCCAGATGATCTTTGCTGTTGAATCGTGCTCGTTTCTATTGCTCTTTCTTTCTAACTAGATATACATACCTACATTCCTTTGCCGTCTTCATCTTTACAGCCAACAACACATTTTAACTGGTCATATTCTATTTCAGAAAAGCATGATATCCCCATGTAGCTCTTTTAGTACATCTAAATTTCCAGTGACTATCTAATGTGTAGATAGAACTTTAGTTGGTCACAACACTTGGTCTTGGTCTGCTGAAGCTATTTGTTATATATATAGCCACACCGTAGATTTTATTTATGTCATAATTAACTTTGAAACAGTGAGAAATCCAACTATTAAAAAGAAAAGAAAGATATATTACCAAATAAGAGTGAAAGGGTTTGTTTGACATCCCACCACAACTCAGTTCAGTTGCAAAGCTCTATTGAGGGAGATGAACACCATAGTTGAATGAATACAGGTATTGAAACCCGGAACACCAACCGCCATGATGGCGATTATTATTGTTAGTCAGCCATGTCCGCATAGCCCTATTGTCAAAACAACGGATTTTTGTCATTTTGGTTAGTGAGAGAAATACATATATGCCATCCATACCATACATTCCAGGATTGCTTATGAGCCCGGATTTGTTCCATTGAAGATCGATTTACTCCGTACCTATAAATCATCTATATACCTCGCTGTCGCCGATCTGCGGATGAATTGACTACAATGGTCAACCCCTGAATTACCGAAAGGACCCCTTGCAAAATCGGATTTCAACGAACACAGTAAGCAACACATAAGGTCCCGGGGATGGCCGACATATACCTCGACACATACCTCACCGTGGGATTTCCCCCCGTTACATTAAAGGATACCGACTCTTGGGTTTTATGGTTACCCTACATCAAGTTGATTGCTAAACAGCATGGTATATGGGATTTATGCAATCCATCTCAAAAGACACCTCCAGGTCCTTTGGAAGCACCTAAAGGGTTGATAACAATCGACGAAGCAATAGAAAAATACAAAAGTGACTGGTACCACGTCAGGAGATGTCTTGAATTTGACTGGAGGTGCGAAAATGACGCCTATATGCGGAAGGAGAAAGGGGTATACCAGGTATTGAGAGCAATTAGAGCTACAGTCGATGCCATGTACCTACCTCTCATTCTTGTGTATGAATGCTTGGCTTTTTGCATCGGAGATTTGCACCCGAAAACAATCCTGGCTCTATGGCTAGACTACGCCGGCAACGGGAGGATTTAGAGCGAGCGTTCTATCGGAATAGGAGACGGAGACCTTAGGGGACTGGAGTTTTCAGGGTTCCGGGGACCACCTGGGTACGCCCGGTTCGACCATTATTCACCGCAAAGACAAAGGAACGATGTACCTAAACGGAGCAAACAAGCACAACTCAGACAGCCAATTAGAAGATTTACCATTGTCCCCTCGCTCAGTCCATAGCAGATTTGAGACGTGACTTCTGCCTGCCACGCCGAGAGCTAGAGGCATCAAAATTAGGTTCATTATTATTGTCCTTCACAGACCCTTCCAGCGTCGAGTACGCCTTCCCCATTAGATTTCGTCCCTTTCCATTATCATTCACTTCACCCACCCCACTTTCGTGCATCCTGCCACGATTTTGGATGCCTAGTATGCCTCGCCATGGGAGGGTGGCGAGGCATATACTGATACATGATTTTGGTTGGTTTGGCTTGAGAGCTTGGCAGGTGCTTTGTTGTCAGGAATGCCTTTATCCGATGAAAGACCTACTTCTGAAAAGAAAGTCCCGGTCAATAGAAATATCCCCAGACATGATATCCTCCCTATAGCATTCCACGAGCCTTATAACGATGGCAATGCACTCCGTACGACTAGCACCGAAAATTGAGACCGGAAATGATATGCAAAACCCCCTGCCCTGGTGTACTGGGCCGGATTCGACTGCGAACTCTCCGGTTTGGAGACGTTGGATTGTAAGGTTCATCAACTCGTAGTCAGAAAGCTGGCGGTCCTTGTTCGTAAATCTGACGGTAAACCACAGGGTGCCTCGAAACAAGCCATACTCATCAACTATAGGAAGCCCGTTGCAGAGAAATACGGTTCGTGTGGAAGACATTTTTTGATCTGTAGCAGTAGCACAAGGACTTGAAAATGGCTGGCCACTAGAGAGATCGAGCCTTTGCCAATTCTTTTGCCCATGCTGCGGTGGTATGTATAGATACATGACATTCAAGCCGTGAGGGGAAAGGTATTGTTTCTTTGTTTCTTTCTTAATTAGAAACAATGCCTTTCATTGTGTCGCCTTATCTTCCGAGATATAAAGGGTAAAATAAATCCAACGCTTTTTTATTGCCTCCATATATCGAGATTCCAAAGCGAGAAACCAACCACAAAGACATGAAAGGCACTGCAACAAACAAAGGATAAAGACTTTGTTTTCACCCATTCAAATACACCATGGACTATATAATTGTCCCTATTTCTGTTAACTTTTAGGAATATCCCAGTTGTCCATCCGACTCTCCTGTCTTTCCGGGAGATACAAACTAACCATTTTGCAGCAGATACGTTACCCACCGGCAATATGGCTGATCGCAAGCGAGCTCTGCGAGCTGGAAAGACTGCTACTGCCTCACCTAATAACGGGTTCACCACTGAACGCTCGGTTGGCGGCGAGCGCCGTTCGATCCGTCACTACCACGATGGCCGAGTATCACAACGTGAGGGCCCTATCCCTGCCCCCGTCCGAAAGCTAACCAAGAGTAGAGTCACCTCTAGGACAAACAGCGTGAGCGCTAGTACTGTCTTTAAGCCTAAGGCTTCTCCCAAGCCTAGGGAGCCGGAACCGGAATATCGGCCTCCTACTGATGCTGAAATTGAGAAGCTCGCCGGTGCTGTTACTAACCTCTCCCACCCAGAACGCAGTACACCCTTTCCCAAGCCTCTGCCGCGGGTGGAGAGCTCACAGGAAGAGAACTCCGAGTCATGGAGTTCCAGCAGCTCCTATGGAATGATTACCCCACCCTTCCCTGTAGCTTCCCCTACTCCTGAAGACTCGCCCGAGCTAATGAGCACGGAGGTTTTTCCTCCTCCTGTGACCCGCAACCCCGGTACCTCAGGCACGAATACTAACACTATTTCAAAGCAGTGGGCTGACATGGGTGGAAAGAGCCGGATTAGAGATTTGGATCTTCACGACTGAATGAATGTCTAGTAGTTGGGAAATCCGGATGAACGGGTACTGTGGAGCTAAGATAGGACTCTGCGAACAATGTAAGATCAGGCAATATAAGTGTGTCTTCATAAAGATGTGTGATTAATGTAGGAAAGTATAACTAAAGTAGATAGGCGCATAACGGGATATCCGTAGGCCCGGATTACTATCGTATGACTATGACTCCACCGTGGGAAGCCGAACGAGGCTCTGGCATTAAGCTGAAACATTGAAAATTGATTATCGTTATCATTATCCAAATTAAATAATGCTGAACATAATCATTGGCAGAGTGAGCAACTCGATTGCAATTTGGACAAAACACTTTTTTAGATGAAGTTCAATCAGCCATAAAAACTGAGGCACGCTGAAAGCCTTCAATGCGCTGTTAAAGGCAGCAATTCCCAAAGGGATTTTGTGTCCTCCACGGAGCTCTGCAATTGTCGAGCCACGATTCTTTGTCAAAGAAGGAATGGTTGTCTCCAATTTTCCCGGCAAAAGGCTTGCCTCGGTCAATATGAGTGTTATAGATGCTGGTAGAAATCCCATTAAACGAAATGAAAGCATGATGATTACTGCCAAAATCTCGGCACCGGCGCGCCTGGAGCTTGACATTTCATCTCCTGGAGAGATCATTGACCCTTGTATTAGACCCCGGGCCTCGTCCATCAAAGCTTGGCATGTACCGTGTGTGAAACTGGGGACTGCTAAATACGTCCATTTTCTTTCGTCTGCATTTTCTGTCAAAGAAAGGAGTCGAAGTGGATGTGGTGAGATAGTAGCACAAGTCCAAATCAAGTGAAGTTTGCATAAGAGAACAGAGGAACAGGCATAAGCAAATGGTTTCAGCAATTCGTGTCTGAAAATTGCAATCTCCAAGCAAGCTCTAATTGCATAATGGGTAACCTGATAGACAAGACCTATCACAAGCGCACGAGAGAATGTGTAAAGGCTCTGTGTAGCATATATGCAACGTACGGCCTTGTAAATTGATCGGAAGGTCAGAGGGCGTCTGATGTTCCCCCTTTCTTGATCCGAGAAAGCGCTATCCGTTCGAGCAATCTCGAGGATCAAAGATATCGCTACTACGTGACCAAGAAGATAACGAACCTTGTCAACTCGGTTAGTATTACTTAATTTAATCAAGTGGGACGAGGGTTAAAATAGGAAAGAAAAAAACATACTAATGTGGAAATCAAAAGCTGGCTTGAAATGAGAACGAAGGATGAAAACGTGAACTCTTTGTGTATGGTTGTGGAAAGGGAAATGTCATTGAGTTGGGTTAACAGATTCCCGTCTCCTCCCGGGCTGATCAGAATGTTTACAACCCGCGAGGATAAACTTGAAAATACAATCTGGCTGAAAGGAGGAAACATTCCGAGGGATTCCGAATTGTGATTGAAGGAGAAACCTTTGTAACGAGTGAGATTCACTCAACAAGGAACACCATGTGAAGAAATTAGGAGCAATTGGGGAAGTTGGAACGTAAGCAGGTGGGCATCCAATTTGCAAGCCCTGATGCTGAAAATTTTGAGCAAAATAATGAAGGAAAATATAGAAACGGGCTGAAACGAGCGATTGGTTAACTGTGACTTAATCTTTGGGGGCCAAGGGAAAATAGGGAAGTGATACTCCGTATGGAGTAGACATCTAAAGCCCTAGAGCACCTTATGACAGAACAACCTGTGTGAATAAATTAGTGCAATGTACGGAGTACAACTTGGCTATAATCTCACCTTTCAAGTCTTCAAATGGTGTGTTGTCGATGGGACGGCATGTGACAGCGGGACGATCAGGGGTTCTGCAGTGATTCTGCGAGTTTATTGATTTTTGCAGTGTTTACACCCAATAAACACTCACTGTCACGACTATTCTTCCCTCCTTTCTCTTCCTCTATGCTTATAATTCTCAATATCACACACTATCTTCTTTGATTATCTAGTAGCTAATGGTCGAAGAGTTCAAATACATTAATTTAATCTTTCACTCGATGTAACCGTCCGAGTCAGCTTCATATTCAGGCTAATAGGGTTGAAACTCCGAATCTTCACCGAATAAGCCTCCCACTTGTTTATGTCCAATAATGGTCACTGTCCTTGTTCGAAAGAAGCCCCGCCAAGAACAGCTTGGAAGCAGCTAAGCATCATTAGTCGATGAAAACGCTGCTGCCTAATATGGTGGCTTGTACCTGCTTACAGGTAAACCCATTCAAATCCTTCAGAGGTTGAGCTAAGTAAAGACCCTTCGGCTTACTGGAGACTTTCAATTTGAGAATGGATGTATCTAGAGACTCTCGCTACTCTCGGGACCTCCATTATCACGATAACCTGGCCACCCGGCCTGCCAAACTTTCTAGATATTCTCAAACACATTGTCTATACTGCGTGACCTACCTTGATGATGTATACTCCAAGGGTTGAGCGGGATAGCGGGAATGAATCCCACGACAGATTCTTCGTATTCTCGGGGCGGGCCGAATTTCGCCAAGCCACGCTAGGCGGGAACGAAGTAGACTTCCGGCACTAACAGTGGCTTATTATGCAGGCTTCTTTTGGGTCTGACAGCTGCGGCTGACAGAGTAACATTTTCTGTGGAGAACACAGCTCCACGACAGCGAATCAGCAGGCAACAACTAGAAAACGCCTATATCTATATTTCACCTCTTATTGAGGCTAGAAGAAACGGATGTCAGGAGAGGAAGGCCAAATATAAAAGGCTCTATGTACACCCGTATAGAGCAGCAGAAAAAGAACACAAGATCGACTAGTCATTGATAAGCCAAACAATTCTGATTTTGGCACCCTTCTTCTCCCTTATCATTCTACAATACGATTCAGCATCCTCCTTAAAAAAATGCTCAAGGGACGTTCCATCTGTGCCTTGGCGATTGCTGCGCTAGCCACCACCTCACAATGCCAGCAGCTCAGCTATGAAGACAGCGTCACAGCTCTGGCATACGGCAACGTGGCCAACGATAACTCTGCGGAGGGAACGGTATGGCTCAACGTTACTGGGTTTGCCGTGGATAAACTCCCACACATCCAGGAGGATCTGGGAATCCACACTTTGGACAATCTCGATACGCTGAATGCCATCGCTGGCCTTGCACAAGACGCCGCGACCAAAGGCCAGTGGGGAGACATTGTCTACTTGTACAGTGCATTCGCGCTGAATGGTCACAGCGAGTATCTCAACGTTTCGACTGTAGAAATGCAGGAGTCTCTCCTGGACGCTATCACAAACCAGGATAGCGGTGAAATTGATCACCAGCTGGCTGAGCTTTACGCCAGTACCTCCAGCTCAAAATTCCTGGTTGAGGCCTTCCATGGTCTCAAATCGAAGACAAGCACCCCAAACAAGCGGTGGCTGAAACAGACTTGCTCGAATGCCCACCTCGCTGTCAAGAACTCTTGCCGAAGTCTCCTTGAGAATGTCAGAGGCAATGCCACTTGGAAGTCGGGTAGCCCTCGGAGTATCTGCAAGTACGGTTGCTGTATCAGTTGGAGTGCAAATGCCACTTTCCAGGTTGAAAATCTCACAAATGCTGCCAACTATTGCATCAACGCGTGTGGTACTAGCAGTGTCAGTTGTGAGGTTTATGGTGTCAAGTTGCAAGGAACTCTCGTGGATCAGTGTTTGAGTAACAGAGCGACTGGTTGCAGGTAATGGAGGACTCAACTGGTGCTTATTCAGAATAGAACCTCCATACATTGAATTCGGTTTCCTGTGAAATATTGTTTGGAATTTGATTGAATGACTGAGAGATAGTTATACGGTTTCAACTCCTAATTCCTTTTTTACTTCCTCCCTTTTCAATATCACCTTCGTATCTTTAAATACCTAGAACGAGAAAATGATAGACCTGAAAGTGACCATTTAGAGCCTAGAAAACCTCTAATAGTTTCTCATCGACACATTATACATACTTGTTGAAATAAAAGGTGCTATATAGTGTTCTGACCGCCAGGAGATCTAAATTGGCGAAGCAAACTCGAACAAGTTTACTGACCCGGCACTCAGCTTCATTACGCGGCACGTCTCTGTCAGCCAAAGCTGAATTTTTCTAGTGCCACATCCCGGATGAAACAGTTGAGCGAGTTTCACGAATACCATTCCCCAGGACAAAACGACCGACTCAAGGGCTGGCTTGGCCATAAGTATTGGATTTATTCAGCATTTGTCTTCCCTGGCACGAATCCCAAATAGTTTTCTCAGGTTACAAGAGGTGGAAATTGAGTCGAACCAGGCGAAATATCAAGACTTCCTCGATTTTGGCTTCTCCAGCGACAATCCCTTCAAGTCGGGAGTGGCTCATGGAGGTCTGAAAAGTCTATATAAATCTACTATCGAATGATCAGGCACATACTGGTCAGCATAGGCATGATGGCAAAATCATTCACGATGCACCTGGCTCATAAATCAAATATCGAGGGGTATCAAGTGTTTATAATGGCATGGCGGTTGAAGGCATTATACAGATGGACGAATATACATTTGTAGTCGAATGAAGCAATGGAAAGCAATAATAAACCCCGGATATTCCATAATATACATGTGTATTCATGTCTAAGGCTCCATTAAGAGAGTACATATGCAGTTGTAAAATGTGCCGAATGTTCCTTCCTTTTTGGGTTCCTTCCCATCCTCGTCCTTCCCTTCGCTCTTTCATATTCCCCCTTGTCTCATCTTCTCATCTTCTTCTCTCTTTCTCTTCTTTTTTAAGGTTCTCCTCTTATCCCTTCTTCCTCTCCTCCCAACCTCTCATCCCCTCGGTTCCTCTTGTCTGCCCACTTGTACCCTTGCATCCATCAGTTTGATTCAGCTACACTCCAAGCCATGATGATCACTGAACACCAAACCAAAAGTCTTGAGTTGGCTGATCCAGCTTTACTTGAGAAGATTGACAAACTTTTCGCCTGTAACGTGGGGGAGTATGTCAGTCTTCCACAGCTAGTTGTTGTTGGAGACCAGTCCAGCGGTAAGAGTTCGGTTCTCGAAGGCCTGACCAAGTTGAACTTCCCCCGAGACAGCGGCTTGTGCACGAGATTTGCTACGCAAATAACCTTCCGGCGTGATGGTAACTTGGTTGAACGGGAGATATCTGCGTCTATAATCCCTGCATCAGGCTCAACTCCAGAGGAGGATCAGAAGTTGCGGGGCTGGAAGGCCTCTGCCCTTCAGTCACTGAATTCTGAGGACTTTAGTCGCACAATGAAAGAGGTATCATACTTACATGAACTGTGTTCTCGCACTTTGCGCTAACTCTGACTTGCAAGGTTCACGACGTTATGGACCTCTCCTCCTCTCATGGAGACCAAAGGCCGACCTTTTCTAACAGCGTCCTACAGCTCGAGATTCGTGGTCCAAACGAGATTCACCTTAGCGTTATCGACGTCCCTGGAATTTTCAAGAATACAACGCTGGGTAGAACAAAGAAGAGTGATATTGTCCTCGTTAGGAACATGGTCCTTCGATACATGCAGAACCAACGATCCATCATCTTGGCAGTGGTTCCAGCAAACGTGGACATTGCCACCCAGGAAATCATTGAGATGGCCAGGGAGATTGACCCTGAAGGGGGAAGAACCTTACGGATCCTCACCAAACCCGACCTTGTTGACAAAGGCACCGAGCACAACGTGATTCGGTTAATACAGGATGGAAATTTGAACGGACAGCTGGGATGGATCCTTGTTCGGAATCTCAGCCAAAAGCAGCTTCAAGCTGGTGATGCGGATCGTGACACAGAAGAAAGGACATTCTATCAAAATGCGCCTTGGAATCGCGTCCCGCCCGAGAATTATGGGGTTTCGGCGTTAATGGTTCGCCTCCAAGAGCTCCTGACGTCAAACGTCCGCCGAGAGTTCCCACTGGTATGCACAACTCTCTATTTCTGTGAATACGCTTGCTAATTTATATCAAGGTGCGGTCGGAAGTGATAAAAAGACTCAAAGACTCAAAAGCCCTGTTGCAATCTTTGGGAGCCCAGCGAGACACAACAGAGCAGCAGAGGCGGATCCTTCTAGATGTTGTGTCGGCTTTTCAAGAAATTACACAGCACGCACTCGCCACAAATTACGGAGTCAGTGATGCGTTCGACGAAGACAAAGATTTACGACTGGCCACACTGGTTTCAGTGAGAAATGATGTCTTCTCATACGATATCGCCCGTCACGGCCACACGTACACTTTCCGGCCGAAGCCAGAAGAGACAGACAGCGGTGTCGATGATCGTGACGAAAGGCGCAATAACCCGATCGATACTGAAAACCCACAAAACATCATGCAGAGCCGGAAGAGCTGGGAACCAACTCGGAACACATCAGTAGATGACCTTGATGATATTCTACATGTTTCAGAACCCGTGGAGCCCTCCATCAAATTGGGCATTCTCGCCTGGATTGAAGGTGTTTACTCCAATTCTCGGGGCTTTGAGATTGGTACATTCAATCATACTTTGCTCTCTACATTGATGAAGAAGCAGTCAATCAAATGGTCAGTCCTTGCGTGGGGCTACATCAGTGACATCATCAGCGTTGTTCATGCATTCATACGCAAAGCGCTTGAGGTTGTGTCCAAAGATACACAGATGTCCTCGAAGATAATTTCCCTGCTGATGGACGACCTGGTTGAAAAGTACAAACACGCCATGTCGACGGTCGAGTTTCTTTTGAGAATTGAACGCGAAGGTACCCCGGTTACCCTCAACCATTACTTCAATGACAACCTCGAAAAATGGTCAGTTGGCTAGAGTATTCCGAATACATTAGATGTTTGGCTGCTAACCTCTCAAACAATACAGTCGACAAAAGCGATTGCATTCGACTGTGTCCAAAAAGGCTTTCGATGATTGTAAACACGGAGAGGTCGTCCGACTCAGGGACATTGTTCAGCAACACCACATGAGCAATGTTGACCATACTGTCCGAGATATTCATGACATTCTGGATTCATATTACAAAGTGGCTCGCAAGAGGTTTGTTGACAATGTATGTATGCAAGCTGCCGATCACTATCTGGTCACTGGGCCCGAGGCCCCTATGAAGCTGTTCTCACCGTCATGGGTCAACGACCTATCCGACGAGAGGCTGGAGGAGATTGTTGGAGAAGGAAGAGCGTCGAAGCGCAGGCGACTAGAGCTACAAAGGGAGGTTGAGGACTTGGAGGCTGGAAAGGCGGTTCTACTGAAATGATGTGTGTTGAAGGCCATTATGTCCCTAGTGATCCGAATATCAATTATGTGCAAGTATCATGAAGGTCTCCCAAGGATGAGTAGTTTGATAGTATCAAAGCTCCGCGAACCATATTTATGGTTATACATAGAACAATACTCTATGCGGTTTACATTGAGAAAGGCGAGGTACTACATATATCCCAAAGAGGACAGCTGAGAAGGCTACCAAAAAAGACTATATACGAAGGCTCATAGACAGCCGACTACTTGATATGCGTATGCTACATGTACGTGTCAACCCAAGCATGCTCCTCGTGCCCATGTCCATACGACATAGAAGAATTAAACAAAATCCATTGCTATCTCCCAAATGATTCACACCAACCTAAAACCCGGGCTCCACGACAATATTCATAATAATGAAATGAATACACATGTCGCATTTAGGATTGACCTCAAGCCTCGAAGCAAGCTGTGGCAGACGTAACTGCAGCGCATTGCACATTTTCGGAACCTCGACTTCGTAGAATCGCGCCGGCTTGGCCGTCACGCAGATATGGTCTTTGGCCTCACAAGCCATGACAATGGAGGCTTGTTTGAGTCGATCGAGGTATTCAATGGACTGGTTGTGGAGGGTTGCTTTGACTACTGCCAGTGTGTCGGGTTTGGGTTGGTGTCTCATCAGTCGGGCTTGGTCTTCGAGCCAGGAGAGGAAGGTGGTGCGTTCTTTTTGGAAATCGCAGACTGTACTTGGTGCGGACATCCTGTTTGTTGGGGGGTCGTGAGATGGACACTGCGTAATTGGTGGATGCAAGGTACAGATGGTGAGATTTGGATGGCTGAGTGCGGTGGTGGAGTTGACTTCGAGAAATGGTGGGTGGGTTCATGTGTTGGGGTGTGGGTGACGGATCAAGGTTGTGACTTGGGGAGACTGGCCTGGTGAAGTGGGTTGGTTAGACATGATGTATGGGATGCATAGAGAAGGTTCTTCGTACCTCGATCAGGTGGGATTTGGAGACATTTGGACTTATCCAGCTCGGAGACTGTGGTGTGGGTGGAAGGAAGGCATGTTTCTTGGAGGTGGGATTATTGGAGAAATGAATGACATGGAGGTGGTTTACTTCGTATCTGATAAAGAGAGAGAACAATATCAAAGAGACTATGGGTGACACCTTGGGGGTCAGGCCACACTCTTACCTTCTCGCAATTAGATTTCATTCATGAGATTCGTCTCTGTAGGGCTTTGTGTACCTGATAAGTGAGGGAAAGAAGATATCCAAGAGTGAGAAGACTATCAAAGAGTCCAAAATGTGTATATTGCTGGGGTCATAGTATCATATGAGCTTCATACATGTCGTCAAATCCGATCTGTCTGGAGTTTCATCACAGACCTTTGTAAATAATCAAAAGAAAAAGAAAACAAAACGCTGCAACCAATATACAAAACAAACTAACAAATTCCCAAAGAATAGAAGGAATAAAAAAGACCAAAGGTCTGGTTTACAGATTCGTCAATTTACGGAACCAACTGGGCTTCTTAGGCCCCGAACTCGGTGGAGCACCTTGTCGACTCCCCGGCTGGGACCTCATCCCACGATCACGTTCATAATCACCACTCCCAGAACTGCTCTTCACACCTTCACGACGAGACCCACGATGCCGAGAACGAGCATCGTCAATCTCTTCCTCATACTTGGCACGACGACGGGCCTTACGGCGAAGGGCGCGACGAGCTTCTTCATCCGACGAAAGAGAATGAGCATGCCCTCCGTCGTCAGCTGCAAGAGGAGGCAAATCAATAAGAGTGGGAACGATTTGGGGTGGCTCTGGAGGTTCATCAGTTTGCGAGTAAACCCAAGAGGAAATCTTGTCTTTCGCACCACTGCCAGGATTCAACCCACCAGTCATAAGTGGTTCCCGAGTTAGTTCAGGAGCGACCTTAGACTTGCGACGACGGGCAGTGGGCTCTTCAAACGCGCGGTAGCTACGAGCCCCGCGACGATCGACCTCACGTTCATCGGGGAACACATCATCAGGTATCCTTTGCTCGCGTTCACGACGTCGACTCGCTCTCGCGGCCATCATCTCCTCTTCGCGCATCCGCCGGCGCTCACGGCGTTCTGCTGCTCTCGCTTCCGCCGCGGCTTCGGCTTCGGCTTCACGAGCCGCCTGCTCTTCTCGAGCACGACGTTCTTCACGTGCAGCTCGTCGAGCCCGCTTTTCTTCTCGTAAACGATCTTCTTCTCGTAGACGTTCTTCTTCCTCTTCACGAGCACGTTGCTCACGTGCGCGTTCTTTCCGCCTCGCGCGCCGCTCTTCTGCTTCCCGAGCTTCATATTCACGAGAGTCAGAAGGTGCCTTCCGGGATCCACGTCGTGCATGTCGTGCTGCGCGTCGAGCTTCCGCTTCGTCGGCTTCTGTCTCGCCGCCTGCTGCTACACCGGCGGCGTCGGTAAAGAACCCTTCGGCATCGGTGTCTGGTCGGACAGATCCTCGGCGTCGATCTTCGCGACGTGATCTACGAGCGCCGTCGCGCTCCATTTCAGGAGGATATCTTCCGTCATCGTCGCGATATGAGCGTGACTTTCGTCTTTCTGGCATTTCGGGGCGTTCTGGTCGGTCTTGGCGTGTGCCTTTTCTTAGGGAATCGAGGAGACCCATGAATCCACCGCTCTCTTGTTTCTTTGGTGGTGCGGTGTTGGAGCGCTTGAGACGGCGTTCCCTTGGCGGCGCGTCGACGAAGGCCATATCGTCCGGCCCGGACATTACATCTGGGGCGGCATGTGCTTGATATGGGTCGACCATGACAGCATCGTCCTCGTCGTCGGGTCTGGGGCGCGACTATGACGGATCTTGAGTTAGTACAACAGTGAAAAAGGTACTGTGGGTATCGCGACATACCTGTCTCTTTGACTTGCGCCTTGAGCCCTTGGAACCCTCCTTAGGTGAATGACCCTCGACATCTTCCATATCAACCATAACGAGATCGTCATCCTCGATCGCATACGGATCTCGAACTATTTCGTAGAAGATAAGTCAGCGATAGATAAATGAGAAGTGAGAGAAAGATACATACCTGATTTCCGCCTGTCCGTGCGCGGGCGCTCACGTCGAGACTTGGAAGCCTCCATGCCCATCAACTTGGCTGCTTTGTCAGAAACCTCAGGCTTCTCATCCGGAGGTGATGGATCAGCAGGTTTCTCATCAATATCAAATGATGGACGTCTAGATACGGGCTTCGACGAAGAAGCAGGTTTGCGAGTCGATCTGCTTCTGGACTGGGGTGTACCCAGTACCATGTTGGCCAAGGCCACGCCACGTTGGTTCTTGGAGGAACGCCCCTCTCGTTCTCGCCGCTTCTCCCGATCTGACGCAGAAGACCTTTCCACTTCTGGCTCCGGTTCTTTTGGTCGGGGTTTTCGAGATTCTTTTTTCTTAGGCGTTTCGACTTCCTCTTGGATTTTGGGTTCCTTTTTCAACTTCTTGGGCGGTTCCACTTCCTCTTGAACTTTGGGTTCCTTCTTCAATTTCTTGGGAGGTTCCGCTTCTTCCCGGGTCTTACTTTCCTTCTTACTGGATTTCTTTGGGGGTGGTGGGCCCCCAAAGAAGCCTCCCCATGGAGAGGTGTTCGTATTCCGTTCGGCACGTGCTCGGTCCTTCTTCGAGGGTTTTGGAGGCTCTTCGGCTGGCTCCGGTGCAGCTTCGTCCTTTGCATCTGGTTCCTCGGGTGTAAGATCCGGTGCAGGCTCGGGCTCAGCGTCAACCTCAGGCTCAGGCTCAGGCTCAGGCACTGGGTCTGCTTCGGGTTCGGGTTCGGGTTCAGGCACTGGCTCGGGCTCAGGCTCAGGCTCAGGCTCAGGCTCTGGTTCCGGTTCAGGTTCTGGAGGTGGTGGAGTTGGTTCCCTGGCAGCTGCCGCGGCAGCTGCGGCTGCGGCTTTCTCGGCTTCGGCCTTTTTATACTTCTTGAGTTCCTTTTTGGTCATTTTCGAAAGATCTGGGGCTGGTGGCTCTGGCTCTGGCTCGGGTTCCGGCTCTGGCTCGGGCTCTGGCTCTGGCTCAGGTTCAGGTTCAGGCTCGGGCTCGGGCTCGGGCTCAGGTTCGGGCTCGAGATCATCTCCAAAGTCTGGGAAGCTTCCAGGAACAGAGTCCTTAGACTTGGATTTTGAACCCTTCTTTGTAGGAGCAGGCTCCTCTACAGGAGGTTCAGGTTCAGGCTCTGGCTCTGGCTCTGGTTCGGGTTCAACCTTCTTTTCCTTGGCTTTGCTCTTCAAGCTAGCCTTTTCTGCCTTTGCCTTCTCCTTCTTCGCTAGCTCCAAAGCCTTGATACGTTCAGCTACGCTGAGCTTAGAAGTCTTAGACTTGGATATCTTTTCGGGGGCAGGAGGCTCAGGTTCAGGCACCGGTTCTGGTTCCGGCTCTGGTTCTGGCTCTGGCTCAGGCTCTGGTTCTGGTTCAGGCGCTGGGGGGTTGTCGTCAACATCGATAAGCAAGTCTTCCTCTTCTATAGGCTCGGGTTCCTTCTCTTCTTTCGCCTTCTTCGTTGATTTGGTTTTGCTCGTAGAACCTCCGGTAAGAGTCGACCAGAAGCCTTTAGATACTTTTTCCTCTTTAGGGGGTTCGATGGCTTTCGTGGTCTTCTTCGTGCCCTTGGATGTCTTAGGGGCTAGCTCCGCCCAAACATCGTCGGCGTTGTCATGGAAAGCTTCCGGCTCTGGGGTCAAGCCCTGAGCAGGAGGTGTGGGCGCACGTGGGGGAGGTTCTTCAATATCCTTGCCCTTCTTTTTCTTTTTCTTCCCTTTACTGGCCCCCAAATGCCCCAGGAGTCTTCTTCGGCCGGTTTCTCTGGTTCAGGCTCTGGCTCCGGCTCTGGCTCAGGTTCCGGTTCTGGTATTGGCTCCGGTTCAGGCTCGGGTTCAGGCTCCGGTTCAGGCTCGGGTTCAGGCTCCGGTTCAACAACCGGTTCAGGCACTTCTTCAGGCGGCTTGTCTGATGGGAGCTCGAAATCCTTGCCGGGAATGGGGAGGCCCTTGCGCATTAATTGTTTCTCTCGCTTCTTGCGTTCTTTAGACGATATCTCACGCCAATTTTCGTACAGAGGCTCGTCGGGCACCTTTGGCGCCTCAGGTTCGGGCACCGGCTCTGGTTCGGGTTCTGGCTCTGGCTCCGGTTCAGGTTCAGGTTCAGGCTCAGGTTCCTGGACGGGTTCTGGTTCGGGTACTGGCTCAGCTTTGCCTTTGCTTTTCTTCTTGTCCTTTGAGGAAATCCCCCAAGCAGAAAAAACATCGACTGGTTCTGTTGGTTTTGCCGGGGGTTCATCGATTATAGGCTCCGGATCAGCTAAAAGGTCAATCTTCTTCTTTTTCTTCTTATCTTTGGTCTTCACTGGAACACCCCAACCCCAGTCAGTATCTACCTCGGGTGGTTTCTCAGTCTCCTCGACCACTGGTTCAGGTACAGCTGCCGCCGCCTCTGCTGCCGCCGCTTCTGCTGCTGCTGCCTCTGCCTCTGCCGCTGCCGCTGCCGCTGTTGCTGCTGCTGCCTCGGCTTCAGCCTTGGCTGCTTCCCACTCTGCTGTCGCTTTTGCCGCAGCTTCATCTTCGTCTTTGTACTTCTTCTCCATCTCCTTCTTCGCTTTACGCTGCTCTTTCTTGGAGAGATTCAGATACCAGGCTTCCTGTGTGAAGTCGACTCTAGGTGGAGGCGGAGGCGGAGGCGGAGGAATCTCTAGTTCGGGCTCCGTCCCCTTTTTGTCTTTGCTCGCGTCCCAGCCTACTCCCCAGTCATCTTCTTGCTTGGTTTCGGTGGGTGCGGATCCCAAATCGAAATCAAAGTCACCAGTCTTCTTGGAGGTTGCGCCCCAAGGATTGTTGTCCTTGGATCCGTCGTTGGGAGGGTCTCCAAGAGGATCGACCTTTCCACCGGTATTCCAGTCTTTGCCCCATCCTCCGAAACTAAACCCAGTTCCGCCGGTCTTGGGAGCTGGACTATCGAAGTTCAAGTCCAATTGTGGCGCGCCGTTATCCAGACTTATGTCCTGGAACCCCCCAGGGGGTCCAACCTCTCCCTGTAATTTTACTTTAGACACCATCTTGTACATTGGAGGAGGATGGTCTTACCTTTCCTTTCTTCTTTTTTCCTACATTAGTGAAGGCAGCCCACGAGTCATCGCCCCCACCGTTATCCTCAGCCCAGCTAAGATCTTTGGCAGCAGAGGCTTCAGCGGCCTGTCGTTCTTCCTCCTCTTTGGCTAGTCTCTCTTCCTCTTCCTTGGCCTTTCTCTCTTCCTCTTCCTTGGCTTTTCTCTCTTCTTCTTCCTTGGCTTTTCTCTCTTCCTCTTCCTCCTCCAGTTTCTTCTTTTTATCCTTCTTTCCACTCACATTCCAATCGCCCCAGCCGTCGTCGCCGCCTCCATCTCCCCCGTCGCCGCCTCCAGCGCCGCCTGAATCACCAGCCCCACCATCACCACCGTCACCGTTGGCATTATCGTCTCCTCCATCAGCCCCGCCCGCCGGTGGCGGTGGCGGAGGAGGGGGGGAGGGAGCAGGTGCTGCTTTCTTTCCTGCTGCGGGCTTTTTCTTCTTATGTTCCCGAACACCGGTAGGATTCTCAAAATCAATTCGTACATCCAGCATGCGATCTTTCAGCAGCGAAGATGACGATTTATGCGATTTTTGAGGTGTCGTTGACGCTAAGAAAATAGCCGTCGATTTGCGCTGCGCGAGTGGAGGCAGTGCGGAGTATTCGGGAGGTAGATCGCGGATCACATCGTCGTAGGTAGGCGGAGGTTGGTCGTACGACGGTGGCTCTAACGAGCGAGTCGGAAGGCGAGAAGTCAAACTGGTGACCAAATCTAGTTTGTGGTTCACCCGGTTATCTGGTAGGTAAAACCCCGCCAGCTTAGTCGATAAAGTAGACCAGACCTCGTCGACTAGTTTCTCTTCCATTCGCATGTTCCGTGTGTAGTATGCGACATCCTCCGCGGCGCTGGTCTTCCCCGCGCATACGCGATAAGACCCCTCAATCGCTTCCATGTCGAAAATCACATGCGCCGGGTTCACGGCCGATCCGCTCACTGATGTGGTAACTCAGCGATGTCGAATAGCGAACGCATCGGTGGGCGGGTTGGAGTCGAGTCCAGGTGGCGGGGGGATATTGTCCCAATCGATAACAAACGTTGTTTTCCGGCGCAGAATTGCGATAGTGCGGTGTCGGTATAGTAACGTAGTGCGAGCAGGCTTTGTGAGACTATTAAGCAGTAGTTTCAAGTCAAATTCGAGTCAGATAGCCTCCCTGCACGACCGGCGCGAGTTCCAGGTGTTTTTTTTTTTTTTTTGGATGCTGATATGTGGTATATAGACGGGTTACGAGACGGCCACACAGTCTCTAGAACTGTGCCTGCTGTAAATTGAACGCGAGAAATTCCAAAGAGTCAAGGGAGTCAAGGGAGAAAAATATGGAAAAGTTAGACTGGGAGGGGATCTTCTGGAGAGGCAGGGATAAGTTCAGGCGGTGGAGGTGAAGATCATCCCATTTAGCCCGCCTAAGTTAAATGGTATGTACTCCGTACTCCGTTCGTACTCCGTGTACAATGTACTTGTTCAATGTTGTTATTGCATTTATATCGTGGGGGGTGTTTTGATATTAGCGTAGAAGTTGTTCGAGTCAGTCAAACTCGATCAATATATTTATACCAACACCCCTAGGAGATGGAAAAAAAATATCTAGATGGCTGGGAACATAAAAGTGCCAGGTGCATACCTACCTCTACGAAGTACGGGGCAAGAGCAGTTTGAAACTGACGATATGTACTCTGTACTCCGTACATATATGTATACTAAAATATGTAGGCGTAGGTTTTTTTTCTCTCTACAGTCTGCATGGCATACTCGAGAGGTCAACAACCCAATGTTGCACAGACCCCGCGATAACAGTTCGATTTCCATGGTTCCCAACTTCAAGTCCATGGATTGCAAGATATCTTGTGCAGTACCGTGGTACTCTAACCCACTTTGAATCCAATTGCATACACCTAACTATATTAAGTACTATGTATATTTACAGTCCATACAACAAGTGACAATCCCATACCTAAATGCAGGGACTGCGCTATGTTTGTTGCACATCGTATAGTTTTGTCCGTACCTGCAATGTTGGCATTTTTACCCTTGGGCTTGGACCACAAACAATATATGTTTTACAAAAGATGCATGAAGTACTTCGTAGATGCTGGAATATTCTCCTTGGGCCCAACTTACTCGATGCAAATCGCAGACTAAAAGGGCCACCTGCACGCGCAACACATCCTTTGCACACCGCCACTTGAGCTTCGGAGCAAAAAAAAAGGGCCCAATGCGGGGTTGGTGGAGATTCTACGGCGTAAATAATGAAGAATTAGAATGGTCTTTTTCTCTCTGACTCATCGGTCTAATGGAGACAGCTTCGTAGAGGGCATTGAATTGGGTTGGAGGTGGTATACTCTCCATGGATTCATTACGATATCATACTGCAGCGCTTCCACAGCTCGACGAAACAAGAACAATGTAGAGAAAAACAGTTTTACAGGACGAACTACAATACAACAAGGGGACATGAATCAGGCCATATGGGAAATTGAAAACGGCGCGTGACAAACGAGCCTAGGAGTCCACAGTGAGCTAACCACTCTCCGAAACCTCATCCAGGTTGAGGCCATCCCAATGGAGATTCCCGGTACAGATCAGGTTCACGCTCAGGTTCAGTTGTAGTCTTCCGGTGTTTTATACACAGAGCTCTTGGGCGCAGGCTCTCCGTATACCTCTTGGTGCTCTTTCTCATACCGTTGGCGATCTTCGACTTGCAACTTGTGGTAGTGCTAGACTCACAGTTAGCGCCTTCTAGTCCGGTATGTATTGATTCTGCCAAGGGTGCTTACATCTTTCTCCGATTGGGGTAGTTCAGTCCACTCAGCGGAAATGACTTTGATGGCCTCTGTGACGGACTTTCCCTCGTAATTAAGGGTTTCCATGCGTTTCGTCACGAATATGATGTAGGCGGATTGAGGTATTTTGGGCAAGCGGTCATCTTTGATGGCAGGGTAGGTCTTCTTGCCAATGCGTGAAAGGGTTAGACGGGCAGTGTTGGCGTCCTTGATCTGGAGAGGTGTGTGCGACTTGACCCATGCGTCGTAGGCAGCGGCGTTAGCAGCTCTGTTGGCGTCAACTTGAGCTTGAAGTCTCTGGCGTTGGTGGATTAGTATGCTGCTCTTGACGTATACCAAGAAGCTCAAGGGTACATACCTCCTTCTCTTGAGGACTGAGGGATGTCGCATGCTGTACACCAATTGACCATGCTTCCTTGACCGGGTATTGACCTTTAACCTCCTGCAGCTTCTCGGTCATAGCAAGACCGTAGGCAGAAGTGACCAGCCTCTTGGGCCGGACCAGGGCAGTTGCCTTGAGCTCTTTGATATGAGCGCGTTGTTGCTTGGCCTTCAAAGCTTCCTTTTGTTTCTCGCTGAGAGGGGTCTTCTTCGATTTGCTAGTGGCTGTTTTAGGGGTCTTCGCCTTGGGCGTCTTGGTCGCCTTGAGAGGGGTAGAAGCGGTCGCGAATGAATTCGCCTGGAACAAGGATTGGATGGAGGAAATGGGTTGGAATTGTGGGCGCGCCGAACCGGAAGTAACCGCCAGACTGATGCGACTGAGCTGGTTCTGTAAGTCGCTCACGCCAGTACGGACAGGGAGAGCACTGCGATGCAGGGTGCGGACGAAGCCCCCCCGAGCTGCCGACTGCCAAGACATGAAGTGATTATCGAAGTAGATTTAGCTGGAGAGAGGTCAAATAATCAGGACTAAAAAGAGATCAATTGGCAATTGAATCTTCAAAGGCTGAGAATCGATAAGAGGAGCTGAGCTGTTGACGCAAGCGGAGGAGTCGCGCTGGCCCAGGTACTTTGGCGTACCTATCCGCATTGGGACTAGCTCCTCCGCATAATATTATGTAATCCGTTTCTTGATTCCAACGGTTTGCGCAAGTGACGATGCGATAGACATAAACACCTCAAACGTTCTTCTCTCTTGGTGGTTTGAAGTGTGAATTGTCGTCTCAATTTATCTTCTTGCGGGGCGCTCTGTCTCCCCCACCTCTCCTCCATCAATCCGTGTCCCGGGTGCTTTTGCGTTCCAGTAACACTCACTAATCAGCCTGCAACAATGGCTCGCCACGGAGATACTCGCTCACCATCACCTGTAGGCAGCACATATTCTTCATCCCGGCGGCCTCGCAGAGAGGATGATCGCTATGACAGAACCAGACGGGATGATGGGCGCAGTCACCGCAGATCCCGCAGCCCAGAGGTACGTGTGGCGCATCACAAATTCACATTTTATCTTGCAATATCTAACCATGGTCATGATATTCAGAGACGTTACCGCGGGCGTGACCGCCCTCGCGAGAGAGATGCGTATCGGCGACGAGACCTCCCCCGTAGACCGGCGCGACGAAGATACTTATCGGCCAGCTCGAAGAGACCGATCTCGAGAGCGCCGCCGAGATGATGACCATGATATCCGCCGCAGAAGTCGTGATAGGGATTACCGTTCCAGGCGAGATGACTCCCGCGATCGGGATCGGAGGCGGATAGATGATTCTGCTGACTTGAAGCCCAAGTCCAGACGGGATGACAGCCGTGATCGTGCTCCGAGCCGACGGTCCAGGTCCAGAACCCGAGAGGTAAGCCGCCCCAACCTTGCATAATGCCGAGATTATGATATTAATTGTATCCTCTAGCCATCCAAGCCATCCACACCGGCCCCAACTGCGCAGACAGACGAGGCGAAAAAAGCAGAGAGACTTGCCAAGCTTGAAGCATGGAAACAGAAACAGGCCGCCGAGCGCGAAAAGAAGCAAAAAGAACAGGCATCGGTTGATCCAAAGAAGATTCTCGAAGCGATTGACCGTAAATCGGTTGTGTCTCCAGGTCCTGCTACATTTCCCGGAAAGTCGAAGTTTGATCCAAAGGCTATCGTCAAATCATCCACCTCGACCACGGCCGCTCCCGCTGTGCTTGGTACAGATGTTGCCGTCCCAGTGTCTTCCAAAGCCCCCCCCTATTACGAAATCCAACATACCTACTGCTGCCCCCGCCATGCTCTCTGCCCCCTTGAAAGCCAAAGGTAATGTCAGCGGATTCGGCTTGGGTGTGAAACAAGTTTCTGAAACGGAGAAGCACTCTGCTTCTAAAACTCTGGGCTTTGGGGATGGTGATGAAGAATCAACACGAAAGAAACTTGAGAAATTGCCGTCCATGCCTCTCGATGTGGATGCACAGGTAGACGATGCTGTGGAAGATGATGATGTAGATATGCAAGTTGAAGGAACGGAAGAACACGCGGCAGCCGAAGCGCGTGCTGCAGCGGAACGCCGAGATACACGACTCCAGGATCAAAATGAGGATGTCCATATGGAGGAGGTCACGAATGCCCAGGCCGATTCTACCATGGACGTTGATGACGACGAAGAAATCGATCCCCTGGATGCGTTCATGGCTGGACTCCAAGACTCGGCGCCGCCTGAACGGAAAATCGGCGCCACTTTTGCGAAGAAGACCGCACAGCAACAACCCGAGGCGATGTTTGGTGACGAGGAGGATGTGGCTGTGACTGCAGTCGGTGATGAGAAAGCCGAAGATGTCCTCGCTATGGCAGCAATTAAAAAGAAGAAACGGGAGATGCCTGAGATTGACCACACGAAGATTGAGTATGAGCCGTTCCGCAAGGAATTTTACACCGAACCGTCCAACCTTGCTGAGATGACCGAGGAGGAGGTAGCAAATTTGCGACTTGAACTGGATGGCATCAAGGTCCGCGGTCGGGATGTCCCTAAACCTGTTCAAAAGTGGTCACAGTGCGGTCTGGGCGTTCAGACGTTAGATGTTGTTCACAAACTTGGGTGGGAAAACCTCACATCCATTCAAGCTCAAGCCATTCCCACGATCATGTCCGGTCGCGATGTCATTGGTGTGGCAAAAACTGGCTCAGGAAAGACCGGTGCTTTCCTCGTTCCGATGTTCCGACATATTAAAGACCAACGGCCCTTGTCTAGTACAGATGGCCCGATTAGTATGATCTTGTCACCCACCCGTGAACTGGCCACCCAAATCCATAAGGACTGTAAGCCTTTCTTGAAGGCCTTGGGTCTTCGTGCCGTCTGCGCGTATGGTGGAGCCCCGATCAAAGACCAAATTGCGGAACTGAAACGAGGCGCCGAAATTATTGTATGCACTGCTGGCCGTCTCATCGATCTCCTGGCCGCAAACCAAGGACGGGTCCTCAATCTACGCCGTATCACGTATGTCGTTCTTGACGAGGGTGACCGCATGTTCGATATGGGCTTCGGACCACAAGTTGTGAAGATCATGGCTAGCATCCGGCCGGACAGACAGACTGTCCTTTTCTCGGCCACTTTCCCCAAGAATATGGAATCATTGGCCCGCAAAACTTTGAACGAGCCAGTGGAGATCACTGTGGGTGGCAGGAGTGTTGTGGCTCCGGAAATCACGCAAATTGTTGAGGTCCGTAATAACGACCAGAAATTCTTCCGCCTGTTGGAGCTTCTGGGAAATCTGTATGAGGACGACGCAAATGAAGACGATCGCACCTTGATTTTTGTGGATCGTCAAGAGGCTGCAGATGACTTGCTCAAGCAATTGATGTATAAGGGTTATCCATGCATGTCGATTCACGGCGGAAAGGATCAGATCGATCGCGACAGCACCATTCAAGAATTCAAGGCAGGCATTTTCCCCATCCTGGTCGCGACGTCAGTTGCTGCTCGTGGGTTAGATGTCAAGCAGCTCAAGCTCGTCGTCAACTATGATGCACCTAATCACCTGGAGGATTATGTCCATCGTGCCGGCCGGACTGGGCGAGCCGGCAACACCGGAACTGCCGTCACGTTCATCACCGAGGAACAGGATCGGTATGCCGTGGATATCGCCAAGGCTCTCCGACAAAGTGGACAGGAAGTTCCCGAGCCTGTCCAGAAGTTAGTGGATGGATTCAACGAGAAAGTCAAGTCTGGCAAGGAGAAGTACACACCGCGCCATGGATTTGGTGGTAAAGGTCTGGACCGTCTTAATATGGAACGTGAAACCGCGCGACTTCGTGAGCGAAAAGCATACAAAACAGGGGATGACATGGACGATGAAGAAGAGAAACTTGAGACCGAGCAGGAATCAGACGATCGATTCAATAAAGCTCTTTCGGCCGTCCGATCTGCCGCTGAACCGGCCGTGCCATCAGCTGCACCTTCAGTCTCTATGCCCGGCGTGCCGAAAGGGATTGATCTTGATGGTAAGATCGTGGTGCATCGCACGGAGAGAGCGCCGGCGAATGCTTCAAAGAACCCATTGGACAAGGTGGGCTCCGCCGTTGCGGATATTCATGCACGTTTGAGCCGTGCAGGTGTGATGCGATCTGGCGTGCCAATAGATAATCGTGGCCCTGATGCGGGTGCCTTCCATGCAACGCTCGAAATCAACGATTTCCCTCGTAAGTTCCTCCGTACCCCTCCCATTCTTGATGATCACTTACCGATTTTGGTTTTACAGAAAAAGCACGTTGGGCGGTTACAAACCGCACGAACGTTGCAAAGATCCTGGAGGCATCTGGTACCTCTATCACCACGAAGGGCAATTTCTACGCCGCCGGGAAAGAACCAGCGCCTGGGGAGCTCCCCAAGCTCTACATCCTGGTTGAGGGCGAGACGGAGATTTCAGTCACCACCGCCATACACGAGCTCCGACGCCTGCTCAAGGATGCGACACTGGCCGCCTCAGAAGGTGAGGCGCGTGCTCCGGTGGGTGGCCGCTACAATGTTCTCTAGTTAGGTCATGCTTTAGTCCATACTAGGTCCAAAATATGTCTTCAAAAATCAACGATTGTACGATATTATCCATGTGTTTTGATTCTTGTAGTAATTGTATCTAAATAGTCCATGCATGGTTATTCTAACTGAGTAATGCAATTGGAGAATCACCGGCTAATCAATCGGAGTAGCATCGTTACATCATTTAAACTACGAAAGAGAAGCTTGATTCCAAAATTCCACCCGCAAACAACAAGTCAAAAGCATTTGAACAAAAATAAGAGAAAAAAACAACCAAATATACGCTACAAAGAGACAAAAGAAGCCTGCAATACAACGCCACCAAACAAGTCACCGGGATATAATGGGAGTGATGATCAAATCCAAATGTCGCATGGGAGGTATGCTTATTCCCATCTCCTCGCAGCCTCAGCCCCATCTACATCTCGCGCAGCCCTCTCCGTACGACTGACTTGATCCAATGTCTGAGCTTGAGTCTGTGCCTTCTGCGCAGCCAGCTTAGATCCCAATTTCCCTTTATTGGCAGAGGCGGTTTCGGCACGTTTCTGTAAGGCCCGTAAGTTATTAATCCCGGCCCCGCATAACATATCCTGCTGGGGAAGGAGCTGTCATACCTGTGCAGCAATTGCGGCATTTGCACGTGCCTCATCCGCTGCGGCAGTGCCACCATCTGTTGTGCTCCCACCTAGAGTGCGGCCGGGTGTAGCCTTCCAGTTGGTCTTGGCCGGAAGTGGGGCGCGGGGTGCCGCAGTCCTCCCTGAGTTGTTGCCGACTACACGGCCAGGTTGGTTGAAGGGATCTGCCTCATTAGAGGAGCGGGAGCAGATGTTGCCCATTATGAGTGTGTGGCGAATTGCAGGGTTCGGAGGGTTGTTGTTGTTGTGGTTAGTGTAGGGTGGGCGCAAGGCAGGGAAGGGTCGTTGGTTAGAGCTTCCGCTATGGTGCGAGATTGATATTTGAGGAACCCAGTTGGATGTAGCTGAGGTTCTCTGTGGAAGATTTTGTAAGTGCTATGTTGGCTGTAAATCAAGTTGTCCCTGTGGACGTTGTTGTTGTTGGCGGGTCATCGCAAGTGGATGTTGGAGCATTGCGATAAGCTGATAGTCGATCCGGGGCAAAGGCGGTGAGCGGAGTCAACAACTGATTTCAATAAGTCTTTGAATTTGGATATGGCAGGATACAGTCAAGGTAAATATATCATTAGCTCATTGGATCTATCAACTGTCCAGAATTAAACTTTCTCCTATGCACTGGACGCGAACTGCCGACAAACTACCGAATTAGGGCTATCAAAGCAAAGTCGGACTGGATGGGCAGAATGCCACTTAGTCAGCATCTCCCTTTGGGGGAAATCCTCTCCGCGGGGGAGAGAAATTCTTCGATTGGAATGCTGGGGAACATTTCCCAGGTTGGACTGTTCTCGAATCTCATTTTCCTGCAAATTTGACCTTACATCACATATATCACCAACGTTCCCGAAGTTGATCGCCAAAGCACGCTCTACGATTCGCTCGAAAATCATGACGCCTAACCCCCAAGGTCCTCATCCTGTCCTGCGTCCCGAAGGTCCTCACGGCTACACTGAGGGGTCTCAGTTAGCATCAGGTTATGCCCCCTGATCCTTTCATGATCCTTTGGATTTGATCCTGCATCTGTGACTCCCAAGGTCCTCTTTTTTTGCATTTCCTGCACGTCGATCTCGGTCAATTCTCCGATTGCGCCTGTTCTCAACCAGTCCAGCCCAAGCGCATGATACGATTGCGAATCCATCGGCGCTGTGAGAGGATATCATTCGGCACTACAACCTAAACTGTCTCCCGGGAACGGCGCACAAACTAGGTGACACTTTGACTCGTGGGCTCGTGGATTTTGTAGCGTGATATCGTACCTGACGGGCATTCATTTGTCCCACTTACGGTCGCACACTGCTCGGTTCCTCGACTGCATTTTCCCCATATCGTTCGTTGTTCACGCTGCTGTGACGACAGTGTTCCTGGAACTCCCGATTCCCTATTGACCCTAACACCTTCCCACCATTCTCTGAAGTGAACCGTGCACCATGGCGTCCCAAACCCAACAAGGCGATTTCTGCCTTGAATGCAACTGGGAATCCTTCCACATTGATGGCAAGGCGGCGGTAGATCCCTCTGGTAGTGTTCTTCAGCATCATTGGAACTGTTCAAGTCACGAAACTCAGCCATCGCTGCCCCATTGCGAGGTTGATGAGGCCTGCTGTGATGTAGACGACTGCACGCTAGACTGCGGGTCCATATGTGGCGGCTTTGCCGGCTGTGACACTTCCACCGTCTGCTCAGTAACTCACTGCGAGGACGACAACTGCGAGGATGATAACTGCGACAATAATCACTGCGACGATACTCATTGTGATACCAACCACTGCGAAGATACCTGCGAGGACAACCACTGTGAAAGTATTGACCCTTTGTGCTTCGAAGACTGCTGTGACGGTACTGCGAGTCAAGACTGCGGTTTCGACACTCTATTCGGACTCAACACCCCGCTGTCCATTGACACGGGGACTTTCCCTTCCATGGCAATGGGGAGTCATTCCGTTGGCCACGCGACAAAAGCCATGCAACATCCTCTCCCTGGTCTCGTCGACCCATTCCAACAAGAAAACTTCCTATCCTCATACCAAACCCATGCCACCCGCTGTGAGCAGGATGTATCCAACCACTTCGACTGCCACGATTTCCAGAAAGACTGGCAAGGGATGTTTGCGGCGCCCCCTGCTCCCACACAGGCCGAAGTCAACCCAGCGGAGGTTTTCCACATGCTGGGTATGTGTTCCGACTTCTCTATATGCCAAGATCAGCACGTACCTGAGCCTCCGACCAGTCTTGATACCTTCAACAAACCCAAAACCGACACATCAGAAGCATTCAATTGTTTCAATCCTCAGCATCATCATCATGTCCACAACCATTTCAAAAACCCCAATGACTTCAACCTGCAAGCTATCCGCAAAGGACCTCACCGCAGCCATCACCGCTGCCGGGCTCACCACCATGCTCATTCTCACCCATATTCCCCGTATTCCCGACAGTCTCGCTCGAGCATCAGCTCTCACCTCATTCCAAGCCCAGGAGAGACCCCACCACCTCTCGAAGGAGATTCATCATCCGTGCTTACCACACCGGACTTTTCTCCAGCCGACAGTAAGCTGCATATCTGCAAGTGGGCTTCGGAAATCCAAGGAATCAAGGCTGCATGCGGTGCCACCTTTGCCGATTGTGGTGCTCTTCAAGAGCACCTAGTTGCTAGTCATATGAATACCGTGAATGGTGCCAAGGGTAATGGGTACTACTGCTGCTGGGAAGGATGTCATCGTCCGGACGAGCCCTTCTCCCAGAAGTCAAAGCTTCAAGGCCATTTCCTTACCCACAGTAACTGTATGTTATATTTATCATATCACGATTTACCGATGGTTGGACAAACATACTGACACATTTCCAGACAAGAACTTTTCGTGCTCGGTGTGTGGCAAGGCATTTGCTAGACAAGCGACATTAGACCGACACGAGCGCAGTCATCGCGGCGACAAACCATACACATGCAAACACTGCGGTAAATCATTCACAGATAGCAGCGAATTAAGTATGTCGTCTTCGAATTCCCTCCTGAATCTACCGCTAACTATCCCAGAAACGCATTCTCGAACCCACACTGGCGAGAAGCCTTTCAAATGCACCTGGCCAGGATGCAATTTTACTACGGGCGACGTGAGTTTCTCTATCTCTGTTGACATACTCATATTCTAATATCGAACCAGTCTTCCAATATGTCTAGTCACAGACTTAGTATGATACTCCTTACGTCTCAGACGATCAACGTATTTTACTAACCTCATCTAGCACACGGAGAGCGAAAACATAAATGCCTTTTCCCAGGGTGCACTAAGAGCTTTACACGTCCTGGTATGTTACGTAATTTGATACTTGTCATAATCGCTTACATGCTAACATCAATTCTCCTAGACCAATTGAAACGCCACCAGAGAACAACACACAAGCAGGAATCTTGCTCAACACTCCCATCACCGAGCTCCGACAACTTCACTATGACCCCCTTCACCCTCGTCTAATGAACTACCCCACCGAATGCATCATTGTATGCGGTTGTCATGCCTTTACGACCCAACGGATCAAGGCGCTATTTCCCGCCGGGCGTACTATCGATGATTGAGAAAACCTTTGTTTCTGGCGTTTTGCGGATTTTCGAGAACTACCAAAAAGCTTGATACCACTCGGCCTTCATGTTGCCGGAATCTTTCACCAATGATTTAATTGAAATATTGTCTTAAGAGCCTGAACCGATCAACTCTTTAATTAGCACGGGCGATCTATTTACTATGTGGCTTTATTATGTTACGATTTGCTTCCATGACCTCGCATGTTAGGTATGATATTCGCGCATAAGAAAATTTAAAGCTTGCAGACTAGACTCGAGAAGCATAATCCCTTTATTTCTTTCGCTGGTGTGGACCACAACATACAACGGTACCAGTCAGATCTTAAAATATACATCTCCCGCGTCCTGATACGGAACCCATATCATGGTTGCATCTCAGTAGTAATAGACATGAGTTTGAACGGTCATATGACAAAACAAGCTCAGTCTTCCATAGCCCTCTCCTCGAGCGCCTCGACAGCATTCTTCAACTCCCGAATCCGATGTCCGACCCGCCGACGCACCTCATCCTTAACACCCTGCGGGACCTCTGCGGGATTATACTGAGTCTCGATAATAGCACTATCCACGGACTCTTCTACCTCAGACGACGACCCATCCGTCTCATTCTCAACTTCCCCGGGACGAGCAGTGTAGAGAGCGTACACAGTGGACAGCTGGTTGAGAGCATCGCGTGCAGACTCGCGGTCTGAAGCAGCGTATATGGTAGAAGAATCGGTGCTCTCAGTGGCAATTTCAAACTCGTCTTTGGCGACTTCGTACAGCTCTTGTAATTCCTCGACCAG